TCTGATCTTATATTGCCAATACTCTGTATATAAATGATCATTGCATTTCTGAAAAAAACTAAGTCAAAGGTGTGTGTGAAGGGTGTCTATTTCAAAATTTATCTGAAGTAATTATTTGTCTGAAATACTGATCCTTATGCTGAAACAGACACTACATTACCATGCTACTCTCTTTATCATGGAAATATGTTTATCACTGCAAGTCTTGGATAAGCCTTCAGTATACTATCACGGAGTATGGTGTTTGGTCAACAGCGGGAAATGTTGATATTGGTTTTTCTGTTTTATTTACACATTCTAGATATGTCTTTATTGTTATACGGCTCCTTTGTGGAATTAAATATCTGAGGTTTATAGACTAGAACAGATCCCATGCTATCATGACTGTATGTAAATGAAAAGATCTCCTTTGAGTTGTATCTACAATTGAAAGTCTGACCATTTGTTGCCTTCACTAGCATGTTAACAAAAATTTTCACTTGGAAAAATTTATTAGTCATATCAACTTAAGAAAAGCTTTTTAAAAAAGGGAAAGTTGACCAGCATTTAGTAAAGGAAACAGCTTTTACACAGCTGCAGTGTTTTCCTAAGAACCAGCTACCCCTTAGAAATTAAAAATGTAAAAAAAAAAAAAAAAAAAAAAAAGTACCAGTAATTGTTATAAGGTCCACAAAGATTTTGTTCTTACACCTCAGCCCCTGGCCTGTTACAATTGATCCATAACCCTTTACTTTGAAATAAAGGGAAAACACTGCAACTGTAATGTTCAAGTGTGCAAAATTAATTTTTAATGTACATAGAACAAGAATTATGGGGGTTTTTTTAAGTTTATAAGAAAAATGAATAAAATGTGGTGAATATTATTAACTTAAATAGTAGAAAACTAATGAGTAGGAAAATTTGCATAAAGAATTTTAAAAATTAATTTTACTATATTCAATAGTAATTTTTAATTATAAATTCTCATTCTGATAAAAATGCTGAAAGTTCAATCACTTCAGTGATATTCATTGAAGCATTGAATAATCATTTTTAACTTTGCACTATGCTTTTTGCTTACATTAGTACTGATTTGTGTTTCTAAATTCTCTGTTTGATTGTCATCACTGGGCAGGAGTAAAATTATCAGTTATACTTTTAGTAAATAATGCACATTAAATAAGTACTACTACTTACAAGTCTATGCTAAACTGACTCTGATTGGGTATGAATTCAAAGTATCAAATCAAGTATTATGTGTCCAAAAAGTGACTTTAATCACGTTTGAAAGCTTGAAAAAAAAATCTCACCTTTCTAACAAAATCTAGGGATCACTGATATACACTCTGAAAGACATTAGGCCACTTTTGGAAATCCGATGGCAATAAAATATTGATTTAATGGGAGATACATGTACTGTAAAACGTGGTATACAGGGGTGTGCAATTAAAAAAATTAAACACTAGCCCACGGGCTAGTGCCAGCAATAAAGTTACTAGCCCCAAATAAAAAGTTACTAGCCAAAATGGAGGGGATGGGGTGGGGAATAACAACTAATATTGAAAAAATAGTTTATTGTTGAAAAAGTCAGGGTTTTTTACTAGCCTAAGGGGCTATCTCCGTGCAGAAAACTACTAGCCCGACCCCAAAATATGGTAGCCCCGGGCGTCGGGCGATGCTAATTGCACACCCCTGGTATAGCAGACACATGAATATACAAATTCACACTTATAGCAAAGTGATTTTCATTCCCTTTAGTAAGAACCAGTAACTGATTTCCTCTGTAGACCAATGTGATTTGTTATACCCTTAAAAATTAGTTCCTATACAAATCTATATGAAAAAGAAGTCCAACATTTCTAATGTTTTACTGAGCGGTCATAAAAAATTGATGTTTGACAGCAGAGTGAGATATTGGACCTGTGGACGAGATATTGGACCGCTTACGTCCCGTTGTGGGTGGGATCAGCTAAATCTTGTTTGCACTTGTTGGTACAGAAACCAGCAAAAGATACATGTATAACAAAAGAATAAATAAATAAAAAGGTATAACAAAACATTTATTGACTGGGTTCTAGGGAAAAATGCATTTTGTCGACCCTCGAACCAAACTGTTTGGTTCTTGGGTCTGACAAAATGCATGTTGCCCTCAAACCCAGTCAATAAATGTGTTATATTGCATAGTTTTCTGTTAGTAGATTCATTGGGCCATTTACTGTTAAAACTAAGATGGATATTAACTTAGGTTTATAATTCTTTCGTACAACATAATATTTATTAACGTATATCCCTTTTTGAATTCATCAATAAATAATTAAAAAAAAAAACATTTATGCTCTTCAAAACAGTTAGTATTAAAAATCATTTTCAGAAACGGTAGTAGTCTCTTATTCAGCCACATCCAAATCAAGTGTTGACATGTTTCGAACGTAAACATTGGCCTTGGCAGTGTACTACACATTTTAAATATGGAAAAGAGAATAGATACATTTAAACTCACTAAAATCTACAAAATCCTTACCTTTTCATTCTCGTTCACCATTATTCCTTGTAACTGTACAGTAACTGTGGGACACTTTACATTTTCAAGTTATTGCGGGTGCAGACAACACCGGAAGTACAATTTTTCGGCTTTTAAATAACTCGTTCTTATGAAGACTACCGAAGATAACTTGTTCTACGGCATATTCATTTAAATTCCGACTTCTTAAAAGAAACGTTTCAGAAAGTATCTATTAACTGTACTGGGGAAAAAAATTAAGAATTTGCTAAATTATTGATACAAGATATTTAAACCTAAAATTTGCCAAAGGGTTAAGTATTTTGAGGAATCCAGGTCTATATATGTGACTATGTATAGTTCTAGTTTGTACTTATATAACAGTGGAAAGGAAATGTTCCACCAGGACTTGTAATCACTTATTTTTTACTTTTACAATTACAGAATTATGTATCTGGATGATTTCCCAGTTAAACATTGTTCAAGTAAAAAAAAACTATAAAAGAACTTTGAAAGAATATTTCACAATTTCTGTTTAGTAAATATGAACCATGGGCCACAATACTCACCTGGGTAACTATGGCCCTTCTGTTCTTCATTAGCAGATTCTTTTTCCTACATATTCTGATGTAAAACTTTGATCCCTTTTTATGGCCCCACCATACCCCACGGGTTCATGATTTGAACAACTTTTATCTACACTACCTGAGGATGCTTCCACATAAATATGACCAATTGCGACTTTGCTATTCTCGAGAAGATGATTTTTAATGATTTTTTTTATATATTCCTATGTAAAACTTTGACCATCCATTGTGGATCCACCCTACCCCCGGGGGTCATGATTTGAACAAACTTTTATCTACACTACCTGAAGATGCTTCCACATAAATATGACCAATTGCGACTTTGCTATTCTCGAGAAGATGATTTTTAATGATTTTTTTATATATTCCTATGTACCGTAAAACTTTGACCATCCATTGTGGCTCCACCCTACCCCCAGGGGTCATGATTTGAACAAACTTAAATCTACACTATCTGAGAATGCCTCCACATAATTTTCATCTTTCCTGGCCCAATGTGTTCTTGAGAAAAAGATTTTTAAAAGAAGCAATTAATTATTTTTACAAATTTGTAATTATTTCGCCTTGGAAGAGGGCAAGGCCCTTCATTTGAAACTTGTATCCCCTTCACCCAAGGATACTCTGTGCCAAGTTTGGTTGAAATTGGTTCTGGAGAAGAAGATGAAATTGTGAAAATTAAGAACAACAATGACGACAGACAACGAACAAAAATTAGAAAAGCTCACTTGAGCCTTTCGCTCAGGTGAGCTAAAAACCATAGGCTGACATATTCTGAATTACTCACAGTTTAGAATGACATAATCATTCATCAATAGCACGTAAGAATACTGATGAAAATTTGCCAAACATTTGGATTTTACAACAACAAAAAATATCAGTAAGTGAAGTATATGCCTTATCATTTGTAAAATTATCTTAAAATTCTCCATTTTTTTTACTCAAAAAAACTATGAAATTACATATCAAAGATTAATGATTATATGTATTAATTTATTTGTAAACATATTATGACAAATGATGCTCATGATACACATGTACAAAGGTTCATACATGTATTTGATTTGATGGAAAATAGATAAAATCTAAATATCACAGATAAAGCACTGAAATCACAAATCACTTGACAAGATTTCATTTATAATGTTTACAATGTTTATAATGTTTACAATGTTTGATACACTTACATGAGCAAAAATCTAATTTTAAAAATCCTCATTCATTCAGTTTTCATATTCATCCATTTTTTACAAGGTAAAACCTTGTTTTGATCATCATCTTTAACAATTAATTTAATCACTCTTCACAGTAATCAGTAACATTTCAATATTGCAGTAAATTTTCTCCCAGAATCACATTGTCTGTGTTTTAAGCTGACTGGGTCATCAGAATCACATGGTCTGTGGGTCCAGCTCACTGGGTCATACATTCAAAGTTTTGAGGCCTCTCCAAACAGAGATCCTAATTTTTGTGCCAGCATCATGTTCCCCTTCAGTTTCAGAAGACCTTTCATGAATGCCTGTAGAAGAGATTTAAAAGATGTAAAAATGTCTTAGTTTTCATAGTAATCATTCAGTAAAAAAAATACTTTGTAAAATAGATTGTGATTTATCAAGGAATCTCACAGTTTGTCCATTGAGTTTTCCTGTAGCCATGTCTACCATATTTTTGTCATCAATAGTAAGAGTACAGTCTGCCTTTCCTTGCTTAGGTTCACCCCTGTATATTCCTCCTCCTGTCTTCATGTCTGCAGCTAAATTTAATATCAGTGTAAATATATATATATAAAGAGAGAGAGAGAGAGAGAGTCAAAGTTTGTTGATACGAAAGCAGGTCAAGAAGCAAACTGGCTGTTTAATTTTTTTTTTCATTAATACATGTACATGCATCTTCTATCTTTAAATTTATTACATATACTTGGTATCTTACTAAAAACACCTTTATTCCCTGCTCTGTGTAAAGTCTAAATAAAATAAAACATAATGCTTACTCCACTTTGCTGCAGGTTTGCCATCCTTTGTAATTTCAAACAAGAAGATAGCATTGATTTTCTTAGCTACATCAGGCTGAGATTTTGCCCGCTTGGCCATTTCTTCAAACAGCCCATCACTCAACAGACTGGGACCACTAGAAGACTATCAATTAACATACAAATTACAAATACAGTGTATATATACTGAAAATTACAATTTATGAACATTGTAATTTATAATTTTTTTGTTACAAAAGTTCTTAATAGTTAGATATTAAGAATTTGTATTACATTATTTGTTTAAAATTTCTTGTGAAATTATGGTAATTATTAAAGGAACAAGACTTCCTGCTCTTCAGAAGTTGATTATGTTCCTAAAACATTCTAAACTCTCGTGTGCAGTCTTAAAAAGCTCTAAAGAAGAGTAAATGAATGAAAACAATAATTTATTAAGCGTGTGGGATAACCTCTGTTACCTTGGTAGATGGAGAAGCAGTAGCTCCTGGTTTTAGAAGATCCCCAAGTTTCTGAGCCAGCATCATGTTTCCTTTCAACTTTAAAATTCCTTTCATGAAAGCCTAGGTAAAGCAGGTGAAATAAGTAGAATTTATTAAAATTACTTTAGAAATCTCACTACAACTGGACATCACAGATGTGTGAATGTAAATTTTAAGTTTTAGAAGTGTCATATCCCCCCGTTATAAGTAACGATGGTAGCCAAGAAATATATGGAGATAACGAACAGTATTCAAGCTCAAAAGTCCATTAATCAATACAAAATAGAGCAGAGCAAACACGGACCTCCAAACATCAGAGGTGGGATCAGGTGCCATGGAGGAGTGAGCATCCCCTGCCGACCGGTCACACCCGCCGTGTGCTCCTTGTCATGATCGGGAAATAACGGAAAAATCCTTCGACAATTCAGTGTGTAAATAATGGCCTAACAATTAGTGTGAAAAATGTCAGTCAGCATTTGACTCAATGATAAATTGTATTTGCTGACAAGGTCATTGTATCGACCATAGAACTTACGAAATGATGACTTTAAACGAGACAGCTGATATTCTTGTTTCATCAACTTATTTGTCAATAATTTACCTCGTTTTAGAAATTGTACATACGTAGAGCATGCTCTTGCGTATCGAATCAACTGAGAGATATATACCCCGTATGCAGGTGATGAAGGTATATTGCTGCATAAGTGAGGGAAGTTGACGATTGAAAAGTTAAAGTCATCACGTTTATCATAAAGCTTGGTTGTTAGATTACCATTAACGTCTTTTTCAAGCCAGTAATGAATATCTTAGCTGACATAAAATTATTTGTAAAAATTGTACATAGACATATTTTTTCCATCAGTAATTATACTGAGGATATTTCTTGCTTGATTGCAGTAAGTTTACCACTTCAATATTCCTGAAAAACTTCACACACACACACTGCGATTCTACAGTAAAGTTTGTTCAGTATATGTCAGTGATAGCACTAGTTTCTGGTAATGCTTACTGTTTGTCCATCCAGCTTGCCAGCAGCCATGTCTATCAAAGCCTGGTCATCAATAGTCAGTGTACAGTCAGCCTTGCCCTGCTTTGGTCCCCCCTTGTACACTCCCCCTGCTGTCTTCATATCAGCAGCTGAAAACAAATCATGCTTATAATCCACATTAATAAGACATTCCTATAAAAAGCTTTATCTTTGCTATTTCCATCAAAGAATAAAGGCATGAAAATAACACTGAAGTTTAAAAAATATTTATTATGATAGACAATAGACAGGACAGAAAACCATATACTCAAATAAGAATGTAATATTATTTACGAGTGAAATAAAATCTGTATCAGGTAAATGTATATACAGTAAAACTCGTTTAGTACGAACACGGATATAGCGAATTTTTCTAGGATCCCCAGCTACTGAAATTGAACGAATTTCTTATACGGATATAATGAATTACGGATATAGCGAAGTAATTTCACAGGTCCAAGTGACTTCGTTATAACCAAGTTTTACTGTATTTACATCCATAGCTGGAAAACCTACACTGATTTATACCTGTGATCAAGGATCTAAAGTACTGGTAAATTATACATTCACCGTCCAAGATATGTACAACGTCTACTGAGGAACTCTAAGTGATTAAAATTAACAAAAGGAAGAACATTATTTTTTTTCAGTCCTTATCTGGTATATTTGCTGTGAAACGCTAATTCTAGAGAGTATGGTAGTGTACTTTGACCTAATTCTAGAGAGTATGGTAGTGTACTTTGACCTAATTCTAGAGAGTATGGAAGTGTACTTTGATCTACTTCTAGAGAGTATGGTAGTGTACTTTGACCTAATTCTACAAAGTATGATAGTGTACTTTGACCTAATTCTAGAGAGTATGGTAGTGTACTTTGACCTAATTCTACAAAGTATGATAGTGTACTTTGACCTTATTCTAGAGAGTATGGTAGTGTACTTTGACCTAATGCTAGAGAGTGTGGTAGTGTACTTTGATCTAATTCTAGAGAGTATGGTAGTGTACATTGACCTTATTCTAGAGAGTATGGTAGTGTACTTTAACCTAATTCTAGAGAGTATGGTAGTGTACTTTGATCTAATTCTAGAGAGTACAGTAGTGTACTTTAACTTAATTCTAGAGAGTATGGTAGTGTACACTGACCTAACTCTAGAGAGTATGGTAGTGTACTTTGACCTAATTCTAGAGAGTATGGTGGTGTACTTTGACCTAAATGTAGAGAGTATGGTAGTGTACTTTGACCTAATTCTAGAGAGTATGGTAGTGTACTTTGACCTAATTCTGGAGAGTATGGTAGTGTACTTTGACCTAATTCTAGAGAGTATGGTAGTGTACTTACTCCATTTAGCAGCCACTTTCTTGTCTTTAGTGATCTCAAACAGAAAGACTGCATTGATTTTCTTGGCCAACTCTGGTTGTGAGGCGGCTCGCTGTGCCATGTCATTAAACAAAGCATCAGAGGCAAGGCTACTTGGGGCCTGAAATTAAACAGTGAGTCATACAACTGTATAAGTAAAGGGAAGCTGATACAGTACATATACCTTGAATGGTTTCACATCATATATACCTCATAATTTTACTTCATGCCAAAATTTGAGGAAAGGGAAGAAAATATAACAAGAGGCCCATGGGCCACATCGCTCACCTGAGCACATTGGCTAGGCAAAAGCACAAATCAGTTCAGTATTGAAAAGATTATGGGGGGGGGGGGGGGGGGGGCTTGGGCTTGAATTTTAAACTACCTGATGATGCTTACATGTCAGTATAACAAATGGCTTTGTAATGGCTTTGTTGTACTTGAGAAGAACTTGAAAGTTTTCCCATATATTCCTTTGTAAAAATTTGATCTACCACTGTGGCTCCTCCCTATCCCAGAGGTCATCATTTTAACAAACTTGAATCTACACTACCTGAGGATGCTTCCATACCAATATGACTAAACATAGCTTTACAGTTCTTCAGAAATATTTTTTCTATATGTTCTTATGTAAAAATTTTTAATCCCCCATTGGGCCCCACCCTACCCCAGGGGATCATCATTTGAACAAAATTGAATTTACACTATCTGATGATGCTTCCATATCAAAATGACTAAACATGATTTTCAGTTCTTGAGAAGAAGATATTTTCCTATATGTTCCTATGTAAAATTTTCTATCCCCCATTGTGGCCCATCCCTATCCCCAGGGGTCATCATTTAAAAAACTTGAATCTACACTACCTGAGGATGCTTCCATATCAGAATGACTAATCATGGCTTTGCTGTTCTTCATCAGAATATATTTTCCTATATATTTCTATGTAAAACTTGGATCCCCCATTGTGGCCCTGCCCTACCCCCTAGGGTCATGATTTAAACAAACTTGAATCTACACTACCTGAGGATGCTTCCATAAAAATATGACCAATCATGGCTTTGCTGTTCTTAAGAAGAAGATTTTTAAAGATATTTTCCTATATATTTCTATGTAAAACTTTGATCCTCCATTGTGGCCCCGCCCTACCCCCAGGGGTCATGATTTGAATAAATTTGAATCTACACTACATGAGGATGCTTCCATATAAATATGACCAATCAGGGCTTTGCTGTTCTTGAGAAGAAGATTTTTAAAGGCTTTTCCTATATATTCCTATGTAAAACTTTGATCCTCCATTGTGGCCCCATCCTTCCCCCATGGGTCATGATTTGAACAAACTTGAATCTACACTACCTGATGATGCTTCCATATAAATATGACCAATCAGGGCTTTGCTGTTCTTGAGAAGAAGATTTTTTAAAGATTTTTCCTATATATTTCTATATAAAACTTTGATCCTCCATTGTGGCCCCGCCCTACCCCCAGGGGTCATGATTTTAAAAAATTTTAAATCTACACTACATGAGGATGCTTCCAGATAAATATGACCAATCAGGGCTTTGCTGTTCTTGAGAAGAAGATTTTTAAAGATTTTTCCTATATATTCCTATGTAAAACTTTGATCCTCCATTGTGGCCCTGCCCTACCCCCAGGGCTCATGATTTGAACAAACTTGAATCTACACTACCTGAGGATGCTTCCATATAAATATGACCAATCAGGGCTTTGCTGTTCTTGAGAAGAAGATTTTTAAAGATTTTTCCTATATATTTCTATATAAAACTTTGATCGTCCATTGTGGCCCCGCCCTACCCCTGGGGGTCATGATTTGAACAAACTTGAATCTACACTACATGAGGATGCTTCCATATAAATATGACCAATCAGGGCTTTGCTGTTCTTGAGAAGAAGATTTTTAAAGATTTTTCCTATATATTCCTATGTAAAACTTTGATCCTCCATTGTGGCCCTGCCCTACCCCCAGGGCTCATGATTTGAACAAACTTGAATCTACACTACCTGAGGATGCTTCCATATAAATATGACCAATCAGGGCTTTGCTGTTCTTGAGGAGAAGATTTTTAAAGATTTTTCCTATATATTTCTATGTAAAACTTTGATCCTCCATTGTGGCCCCGCCCTACCCCCGGGGGTCATGATTTGAACAAACTTGAATCTACACTACCTGAGGATGCTTCCACATGAGTTTCATCTTCCCTGGCTCTGTGGTTCTTGAGAAGAAGATTTTTAAAAGATGCCATTAATTTTTCACTAATTCTTTATTATCTCCCCTTGAAAGAGGGCATGGCCCTTCATTTGAACAAACTTGAATTCCCTTCACCCAAGGATACTTTGTGGCAAGTTTGGTTGAAATTGGCCCAGTGGTTCTTGAGAAGAAGTTGAAAATGTGAAAAGTTTACAGACGGACGGACAGACAGACGAACAGACAGACGGACAGACGGACTACAGACAAAATGTGATCAGAAAAGCTCACTTGAGCCTTCGGCTCAGGTGAGCTAAAAACCTTGTGATATTCATACTAACTAGAAAAAATATACAGTAGGTTACACAATATTTAAACTTTTCCACAAATTTGTCTCATTAGTTAGCCCACTTTTATGTTTGAGTGTAGATAAAATGTGTAGTAAATGTACGCAAGGGCAGTAACTCTACATAACAATATACATGTAAAATTGTGCATGTTTTATATTCAGAAAGTATGATTTTCTATTAAAGAATAAGAAGCAAGAATTCCTTGGATCTGCATGGAAATTATATTTGCAGATATTGACATTGTTTTGGAACTTTTGTGATGAAAGAAAAATGTTGTGCCGTGTTAAAGAATCTTACTTGTGATATTACTGGTGCCCCTCCTTCGTTGAGGTCAATGTAGGAACCAGACAAGCTGATATTTCCATTCTCCAAAACCTACATTGTCAGAAAATTAAATTCTAATGTTCCTTAACACGTTAAACAATGGTAAAAAGATATTATAGTCTTCCTATCTATCTTAGGTTTATTTTTATATACATATATTTAAGAAAGTAAATTTTGATGATTTTAAATCAGTTAACAATGCACTTCACTCATATAAACACAGATTCCTCACTTTACTTGTATATAGTTAGCCTTTTTATAAAATTCATTCTACCAGAAGACCACCTAATACTGGTCTAGATTATGGTTTTTTACACAGTTAACTATTTTACATACTGACCTTGCACTGGAAGTAGACTCTGCTTCCATCTTTCCACATGTCTGTCTGTATAGTCTGACCAGGCAAAACAGGCTTGGAGAATCTCACCTTTTAAGTAAATATAAAACAAGTAATCTGTTATACTAAAGAAAAAATTAGATGCGTGAATTAAAAAAAACATCATATACAAGTAATACAGTATCTTTGTTAACTAAAAATAATTTAAGCCAAGCAAATAATCCAGAATAAGGGAATCCGCTCTTGTTATTTTGTGAATTCAGTGTCACTTTTGTGAGCATTTTTAATTAACTGCTGATTTTTAGGGAACAGACTACCTTTAGATTATTAAAACATTATTTTTGTAATTGGTAGATAAATGTATGTGAATTCTTTTCTCCACAAATTGTCCAGAATCTGGATTAGTTGTAGCTTTATTACTGAGGCTGCACTGTATTTGAAAACTATATCAAGAATTTTTTTTTCAAGAAACATTTAATACACATACCGGTAGTTATAGTAAACTTAATTCTTCAATAGGAGATCAATTTTACCTTGATTGCTTTGAATTTCGACACATCATTGTTGCAGTATTGGCGTAAAACATGCCTTGTGGCATATCCATAGCTACACAATCCATGTAGAATTGGTTCTGCAAACCCTGCAAATATACAGCATAATTAATCAAGCATTGCTACCTTTTTTTTGTTAAGTAATAATAAAATTTCATTTATTTCTTGTTACTTATTCAAATTACAGATCCAGCAAAATTCTAACCTCCCATAGCAGCAAAGCTAGGATCAATATGAAGAGGGTTTCTGTCTCCACTTAATCTATAAAGGGCAGCCTGAAATCAGAATCAACAGACGGTTACAGAACAAACTTAATCTATAAAGGGCAGCCTGAAATCAGAAACAACAGACTATTACCACCAACTTAATCTATAAAGGGCAGCCTGAAATCAGAATCAACAGACTATTACCACCAACTTAATCTATAAAGGGCAGCCTGAAATCAGAAACAACAGACTATTACCACCAACTTAATCTATAAAGGGCAGCCTGAAATCAGAAACAACAGACTGTTACAGAACAAACTTAATCTATAAAGGGCAGTCTGAAATCAGAATCAACAGACTGTTACAGAACAAATTTAATCTATAAAGGGCAGCCTGAAATCAGAAACAACAGACTATTACCACCAACTTAATCTATAAAGGGCAGTCTGAAATCAGAAACAACAGACTGTTACAGAACAAACTTAATCTATAAAGGGCAGCCTGAAATCAGAATCAACAGACTGTTACAGAACAAACTTAATCTATAAAGGGCAGTCTGAAATCAGAATCAACAGACTATTACCACCAACTTAATCTATAAAGGGCAGTCTGAAATCAGAAACAACAGACTGTTACAGAACAAACTTAATCTATAAAGGGCAGCCTGAAATCAGAATCAACAGACTGTTACAGAACAAACTTAATCTATAAAGGGCAGTCTGAAATCAGAATCAACAGACTATTACCACCAACTTAATCTATAAAGGGCAGTCTGAAATCAGAAACAACAGACTGTTACAGAACAAACTTAATCTATAAAGGGCAGCCTGAAATCAGAATCAACAGACTGTTACAGAACAAACTTAATCTATAAAGGGCAGTCTGAAATCAGAATCAACAGACTATTACCACCAACTTAATCTATAAAGGGCAGTCTGAAATCAGAAACAACAGACTATTACCACCAACTTAACCTATAAAGGGCAGCCTGAAATCAGAATCAACAGACTGTTACAGAACAAACTTAATCTATAAAGGGTAGCCTGAAATCAGAATCAACAGACTATTACCACCAACTTAATCTATAAAGGGCAGTCTGAAATCAGAAACAACAGACTATTACCACCAACTTAACCTATAAAGGGCAGTCTGAAATCAGAATCAACAGACTGTTACAGAACAAACTTAATCTATAAAGGGCAGCCTGAAATCAGAATCAACAGACTATTACCACCAACTTAATCTATAAAGGGCAGCCTGAAATCAGAAACAACAGACTGTTACAGAACAAACTTAATCTATAAAGGGCAGTCTGAAATCAGAAACAACAGACTGTTACAGAACAAACATAATCTATAAAGGGCAGCCTGAAATCAGAATCAACAGACTATTACCACCAACTTAATCTATAAAGGGCAGTCTGAAATCAGAAACAACAGACTATTACCACCAACTTAATCTATAAAGGGCAGTCTGAAATCAGAAACAACAGACTATTACCACCAACTTAACCTATAAAGGGCAGCCTGAAATCAGAAACAACAGACTATTACCACCAACTTAATCTATAAAGGGCAGTCTGAAATCAGAATCAACAGACTGTTACAGAACAAACTTAATCTATAAAGGGCAGTCTGAAATCAGAATCAACAGACTGTTACAGAACAAACTTAATCTATAAAGGGCAGCCTGAAATCAGAATCAACAGACTATTACCGCCAACTTAATCTATAAAGGGCAGCCTGAAATCAGAAACAACAGACTGTTACAGAACAAACTTAATCTATAAAGGGCAGCCTGAAATCAGAATCAACAGACTATTACCACCAACTTAATCTATAAAGGGCAGTCTGAAATCAGAAACAACAGACTATTACCACCAACTTAACCTATAAAGGGTAGTCTGAAATCAGAATCAACAGACTGTTACAGAACAAACTTAATCTATAAAGGGCAGCCTGAAATCAGAATCAACAGACTATTACCACCAACTTAATCTATAAAGGGCAGTCTGAAATCAGAAACAACAGACTATTACCACCAACTTAATCTATAAAGGGCAGCCTGAAATCAGAATCAACAGACTATTACCACCAACTTAATCTATAAAGGGCAGCCTGAAATCAGAAACAACAGACTATTACCACCAACTTAATCTATAAAGGGCAGTCTGAAATCAGAAACAACAGACTATTACCACCAACTTAATCTATAAAGGGCAGTCTGAAATCAGAAACAACAGACTGTTACAGAACAAACTTAATCTATAAAGGGCAGCCTGAAATCAGAAACACAGACTATTACCACCAACTTAATCTATAAAGGGCAGCCCGAAATCAGAAACAACAGACTATTACCACCAACTTAATCTATAAAGGGCAGTCTGAAATCAGAAACAACAGACTATTACCACCAACTTAATCTATAAAGGGCAGTCTGAAATCAGAAACAACAGACTGTTACAGAACAAACTTAATCTATAAAGGGCAGTCTGAAATCAGAAACAACAGACTATTACCACCAACTTAACCTATAAAGGGCAGCCCGAAATCAGAAACAACAGACTATTACCACCAACTTAATCTATAAAGGGCAGTCTGAAATCAGAAACAACAGACTGTTACAGAACAAACTTAATCTATAAAGGGCAGCCTGAAATCAGAAACAACAGACTATTACCACCAACTTAATCTATAAAGGGCAGCCTGAAATCAGAATCAACAGACTATTACCACCAACTTAATCTATAAAGGGCAGTCTGAAATCAGAAACAACAGACTGTTACAGAACAAACTTAATCTATAAAGGGCAGTCTGAAATCAGAAACAACAGACTATTACCACCAACTTAACCTATAAAGGGCAGCCCGAAATCAGAATCAACAGACTATTACCACCAACTTAATCTATAAAGGGCAGTCTGAAATCAGAAACAACAGACTATTACCACCAACATAACCTATAAAGGGCAGTCTGAAATCAGAATCAACAGACTATTAACACCAACTTAACCTATAAAGGGCAGTCTGAAATCAGAATCAACAGACAATTACCACCAACTTAACCTATAAAGGGCAGCCTGAAATCAGAATCAACAGACTATTACCACCAACTTAATCTATAAAGGGCAGCCTGAAATCACAAACAACAGACTATTACCACCAACTTAATCTATAAAGGGCAGCCTGAAATCACAAACAACAGACTATTACCACCAACTTAATCTATAAAGGGCAGCCTGAAATCAGAAACAACAGACTATTACCACCAACTTAATCTATAAAGGGCAGTCTGAAATCAGAAACAACAGACTATTACCACCAACTTAATCTATAAAGGGCAGCCTGAAATCAGAAACAACAGACTGTTACAGAACAAACTTAATCTATAAAGGGCAGTCTGAAATCAGAAACAACAGACTATTACCACCAACTTAACCTATAAAGGGCAGCCTGAAATCAGAAACAACAGACTATTACCACCAACTTAATCTATAAAGGGCAGTCTGAAATCAGAAACAACAGACTGTTACAGAACAAACTTAATCTATAAAGGGCAGCCTGAAATCAGAAACAACAGACTATTACCACCAACTTAATCTATAAAGGGCAGCCTGAAATCAGAATCAACAGACTATTACCACCAACTTAATATATAAAGGGCAGCCTGAAATCAGAAAGAACAGACTATTACCACCAACTTAACCTATAAAGGGCAGCCTGAAATCAGAATCAACAGACTGTTACAGAACAAACTTAATCTATAAAGGGTAGCCTGAAATCAGAATCAACAGACTATTACCACCAACTTAATCTATAAAGGGCAGTCTGAAATCAGAAACAACAGACTATTACCACCAACTTAACCTATAAAGGGCAGTCTGAAATCAGAATCAACAGACTGTTACAGAACAAACTTAATCTATAAAGGGCAGCCTGAAATCAGAATCAACAGACTATTACCACCAACTTAATCTATAAAGGGCAGCCTGAAATCAGAAACAACAGACTGTTACAGAACAAACTTAATCTATAAAGGGCAGTCTGAAATCAGAAACAACAGACTGTTACAGAACAAACATAATCTATAAAGGGCAGCCTGAAATCAGAATCAACAGACTATTACCACCAACTTAATCTATAAAGGGCAGTCTGAAATCAGAAACAACAGACTATTACCACCAACTTAATCTATAAAGGGCAGTCTGAAATCAGAAACAACAGACTATTACCACCAACTTAACCTATAAAGGGCAGCCTGAAATCAGAAACAACAGACTATTACCACCAACTTAATCTATAAAGGGCAGTCTGAAATCAGAATCAACAGACTGTTACAGAACAAACTTAATCTATAAAGGGCAGTCTGAAATCAGAATCAACAGACTGTTACAGAACAAACTTAATCTATAAAGGGCAGCCTGAAATCAGAATCAACAGACTATTACCGCCAACTTAATCTATAAAGGGCAGCCTGAAATCACAAACAACAGACTGTTACAGAACAAACTTAATCTATAAAGGGCAGCCTGAAATCAGAATCAACAGACTATTACCACCAACTTAATCTATAAAGGGCAGTCTGAAATCAGAAACAACAGACTATTACCACCAACTTAACCTATAAAGGGTAGTCTGAAATCAGAATCAACAGACTGTTACAGAACAAACTTAATCTATAAAGGGCAGCCTGAAATCAGAATCAACAGACTATTACCACCAACTTAATCTATAAAGGGCAGTCTGAAATCAGAAACAACAGACTATTACCACCAACTTAATCTATAAAGGGCAGCCTGAAATCAGAATCAACAGACTATTACCACCAACTTAATCTATAAAGGGCAGCCTGAAATCAGAAACAACAGACTATTACCACCAACTTAATCTATAAAGGGCAGTCTGAAATCAGAAACAACAGACTATTACCACCAACTTAATCTATAAAGGGCAGTCTGAAATCAGAAACAACAGACTGTTACAGAACAAACTTAATCTATAAAGGGCAGCCTGAAATCAGAAACACAGACTATTACCACCAACTTAATCTATAAAGGGCAGCCCGAAATCAGAAACAACAGACTATTACCACCAACTTAATCTATAAAGGGCAGTCTGAAATCAGAAACAACAGACTATTACCACCAACTTAATCTATAAAGGGCAGTCTGAAATCAGAAACAACAGACTGTTACAGAACAAACTTAATCTATAAAGGGCAGTCTGAAATCAGAAACAACAGACTATTACCACCAACTTAACCTATAAAGGGCAGCCCGAAATCAGAAACAACAGACTATTACCACCAACTTAATCTATAAAGGGCAGTCTGAAATCAGAAACAACAGACTGTTACAGAACAAACTTAATCTATAAAGGGCAGCCTGAAATCAGAAACAACAGACTATTACCACCAACTTAATCTATAAAGGGCAGCCTGAAATCAGAATCAACAGACTATTACCACCAACTTAATCTATAAAGGGCAGCCTGAAATCAGAAACAACAGACTATTTCCACCAACTTAATCTATAAAGGGCAGTCTGAAATCACAAACAACAGACTGTTACAGAACAAACTTAATCTATAAAGGGCAGCCTGAAATCAGAAACAACAGACTATTACCACCAACTTAATCTATAAAGGGCAGTCTGAAATCACAAACAACAGACTATTACCACCAACTTAATCTATAAAGGGCAGCCTGAAATCAGAAACAACAGACTATTACCACCAACTTAACCTATAAAGGGCAGCCTGAAATCAGAAACACAGACTATTACCACCAACTTAATCTATAAAGGGCAGCCTGAAATCAGAATCAACAGACTATTACCACCAACTTAACCTATAAAGGGCAGCTTGAAATCAGAATCAACAGACTATTACCAGTAGAGAACATGAGCATAAACAGAAAGACAGCTGCAAAAAATATTTATCTGACCTGATCCACACTGGTTTTCTCACTAATGCTGGCATCAGGGGGTCTTTTAGGGGGATTAGCTGTGGGTTTGGCTTCATCAGAATTCCTCTTTCCTCCAAATTTCCCTGCCCCAACCACAAATGTGCTGAATTGGTTAAATGCAACCTTCTCATTGTTTTCATCAAAGGTGTCCACTAAAAATACAAAACAGGAGCATGCATTATCATTAAACATCTAACCAAAGACTTAATTCATAATAAGCTGGTATGTTTCAAGAAGCACATGCATGGACTTAGTTATACAGTAAGAGAAAATGCACAATAAAAAGCATATGCATCTTAAAAAAGCTCAAAGACAGTTTTTCTCTATCCAAGTGTAAATATACGCTATGTACATATAATTTTGTAGTTATGTAAGTTTACGAAGTTTTTTTAAAGACTTCAAATTTTTCAAAGTTATGCATATCAACTCACAATGTCAGCAGAATTATTACCTCACAATCATTTAGTTAAAGTGTCCAGCATGGTACTACCTATTCACTTTACACAAAAAATATACACATCATTAAGTCAGTACTTCACAAGTGATAATGCAAACAAGCTTTGAGTAAAGATGACGTTTCTTTCTGTATTTTCCTCTGCCATTTGACAACAATACAGAGGTATGAACTCAATAACCCAAACCCAAAAGAATTCATTAACTGGAAATGGTAGAATACTGGTGCTTTTTAATCTCGTTTACTTTTTAATAGACAATCAAATTTAATTTTAAGGGAATATTTACTTGAATGCATGTATATGTAATCTGCACAGTTACAAAAAGTTTCTGGAAATGTTTTAATTTTAATATATACAAATTCATACTAATCATGTTAATTTGATTACAGTAATTTTTTTGTCTAATAATATATAAATGGTGCCTGTTTTGGAGGGTAACAGTTGAAATTGACTGAATGACACCCCAAGGAAAACCAATGTCAACATTTTCAAATGTTACCCTCCAAAACAGGCACCATTTATTTTATTATACTGAATGTCTTATTGCTTTAGGATGTCAGCAAAAAAATTTGTCGATCATCTTTACGTTCACGTTAAGAAAGCCTTCACACTCCCCCTTCTATTTTTCTCAATAAGAAACCTTCAAAAAAGATATACCGACCTCTTTATTGTTTGTTTGATACTCAAAGAGTCCTTTATCATCTAAAGTTTTGTTTTTTCTGCACTCGCAAGCATATTTCGTCTGTTGTTTGTTGTTTTCAAGTAAGCTACATCAGAAGCAAGCTTTTATTGACATCCAGTTTATTTGGCTTCTTTCAAACGCACAACTGATGTTGTAAGAATTCTACGGTGAACTGAAAGCGCATGATTTGCATGCGACATTATCGTTGTGTTACCCATTGTCAAGTGTGTTGCTAATGCTGAGAGTAACATAACGGATTGTTAAGTGCATCTAAACCAATCAGATTTTAGTATTTAACATGATATATACTAAAAAGATATACTTTGAATTAATCTTGAACTCCACCTGTTGTTAAATCTCTTTTTAGATAAACATTATATTTTCACGAAATTCTTGATATGGTACAAAGTAAATACAATTTTTAAAGGGCCTGGAAACAGTTGCATTGCATTTTGTTTACAATTTTAAATTTTTATTTTTATTCAAAGCATAACGAATCGAAATTACATGAAAATTCTTAAATTTCTAACACCACAAATGGCACATTAGGTTATCTGTATTTGTAAACATAGGGACAAACTTTCTTATTTTAAATGTTTATGTTTTACAGGATGTGTTCAATTTGTTAATTCTGCACTCAGCACTGAACAAGAAATGACAATACTGATATGCTGATTTTGCTTTCTTACATTTCTAATCTAAATTAGATCACAATTTTTGTATTTTTCATTAATACACAACAAATTTTCCACTTCTCTTATATACTAAGGATAAATTTTCCTTTGTGAAAGTACCAGGATGTGTTCCAATCAAATCCCAAAATTCTAAGTTTTAATAGCTTTCAGATAAAAGAAGTTTCTCAACACATTTACATGTATATAATATATCAGACTGAAATGCTCTAGGTACATGAAAGTCATTTATTAAATCGAAAATTTCAGAAAATATTGACTTCAAATTTGTTTCCAAGTCCCTTTAAGATAAAAATTAAAACAAATGGGCAGACAGACAATGAACAAAGTGATCCCTTGGTATCTGTCACTCTCTGTAGGTGACAGCTTTTTGTTTACACTTGTACATATATTTTACCATTGACAATAAGAACTGCCCCCGACCCCTTGTCCAGTATGTCCACTACTCTTGATTTAGAGGTCAGTGTAGCCTTGGTTGGGAGAAGTTTGTATACTTCTGTATACTGCTCTCCATGTAGAACCTGAAACAGAATACAGAACACAAACTACAACTCAGACAGCACAAGCTAGATCAAACCACACAGGAAACTAAAATACCCACAGCTTATTTTCATTACATGTAAATAAATTTGGTAATTGAATTACAAGTTAGTTTAACAATACAGAAGCTTGACTTTTACCTTTGTCAAATCGATCTGGAATCCTGGTAACCCACCCACCATCATCCCTGTCTGGGAACTAAAGGCAGGAATGACAGCGAAACTGGGAAGGACACAGAAATCTCCAGCTCCCTCGAAGAGGAACTTCAGGTAATCAGGCTCCTTAGTAGACGACCCAACTGTGACATGTTCAAAATGTACATTATTTCTAATTATTTCTAATTATCTAAATAAGACATCAAATCAGTAGATAGTAAACCTACCCTGATGAAGAAGACAGAACTGAATATACATGTAAAAAAAAAATGCTGATGGGACCTTTTCTCATATTTAGGCTAACCAGAAGTACAAGCAAGAGATAATGAAATAATTGATGCAAGTAATTTATATAAATATAAATATCCAATATAATTTATATAAATATGAATATCCAATTTAAAAATCTACTCAATTTTCATGTAGGTTAGTTTATATGAATACTTTATAATTTCAATTAAATATTTAGGTAAAGACTTACCTCCAAGGGCGTACAGAATGACATCCCGTTCGGTGTAAGAGAACTGACTGGGTGGAGCTTGATGAGCTTTAGCTGCCTCCTGTTACAAAGAAACACAAAACTCAGACAATCAGACATCATATGGACACCTCCATCACTATATACCTCCAACTTTTTAAACAAATAAAGTGCCCCACCACAGCATGATACGCCCGTCAAATTTTGTTCAATTGTCATAAACAGTTTAGAGTGCGAGAAAATCATGTCAACCTTGATACAAGGATTTCAATGATTTTTCCATTTCTTATAATATTTGTTATACATCTCCTGTGGTGTAGGCATTAATTATAACAAATATTACATTATAGATCCTCAACTAGTTGTGTTAGAGCTTGACAAATACCCATCTGCAGCCCCCCCCCCCCCCTCCCCAGCTTTCAAATTTGTGAGACATGATGCTCTGAATATCATATTAAACAATATCAATTAAAGGCCTATTTGTAAGATGTGATTTCAGATGGGATTTCACATCTGACTCCAGTGTTTCATTTACATTGTATGATTTGTCAGATATGTAGTTCGATCATTAATATTTCCCTCCAAATTTCTTATTGTATACAATTTAACAATGGAAAATGGCAATTATATACTACCTTTCCTTTTCCTAATGATAGCAGTTATGTACCATTTGAACACAGAAGAACATGGGCAAGACCTTGTTTAGGACATGGTGCATATTATGCAATACTAGTAAGTAAGGAATTGGCTATGAAAGACCTACATGATTTCATTTTTTGAGACAAATTTACTTCTAAGTATAATTTGTTAACCAATTGGTTTGTTCTGTTTAACTTTCCTGCCATTATCAATTCAAGTACATCAATGAAAAGTTCCTTCAAGATTTGGCCATGTAATATATCACTTAAAATTAATCTGGAGCAAAAGTTCGGGAAAAATTCATGTGTTATTTGTACCTAATTCAGATCAACCTTTCTGACCTTGCTTATTATTTGGTTGAAAGTTGAAACCATCTGACTTGCCCGACAGAATAGAGCATGTCTCTATTCCATCTGACTTCATATATGGCTTATGATTTTCCTATTTACACAGTATGATTTGTAAGATATGGCGAGTCGCATCTTACAAATCATACTGTGTAAATAGACCTTTAGTCTTAACAACTTAATCTATATCAAATTAATATTAAAAATAAAAGGCTGGCCATCAAATGACATATGCTATAAACTGACAAGCAGTTCTGCTGTCTAATTCCCAAAGGATACAGATGAGAGCTGCTTGATCAGAGATCCTTTAAAAGAAATGATTGAGACAGCTAGCCTTCCTACACTGAACTCATTAATTAATCTTTAATTGGATGCATGTCCACTCATTACTCCCAGCGGATGAATTGATCTATACATACTATCTGCTTTGTAGTGCAATAAAAATGCATATTTATGTCATTCTGAAATTAAATTTGAAAACAAAGATTTTTTTTAAATTTGTTACAAAGATTTATAAAAAGAAAAAAGAACTTGTGTAATCTTCATGCAACATTTTTAACATTTTTGATAAGGTTCCTGCATTACCCTTAGATTTGTAGGGACTATCTACCATAATTAAAACATTTTATTTTAAATACTTGATTTTTTTTAGATTTAATGTCAGACTGGTTTTAAGCTGGAATTCATTCCAATATCACCCCCCACCCCCCAGAGATATAATTAGTTTTAATTATAATATACAATATCAAATTAGTTTATTATACGATATCAAATTAAATTATTATAAAATATCAATTAAGTTTTAATTACTTTTCACCAAATTCATTTTAAAAGTTAGGCTAGCCAACTATTTAATCCAACACAGCTGATTCTTTTTGCCCAGTTCCCAAGAGATATAGATAACACCGGCTTGATCAGAGATGCTCTGCCAGTTAGCTCCTCACACTGAACTCATTAATTTCTCTCTAATTTGATGTGCAATATTCTGTTATCAAATTCTCCTTGACCAGTGCTTGATAATTACACCCCTGGGAGAGGTGGAATTTCTCTTGTAACATTACATTTGTTATAGATTGCTGTAAAGTATATAATGAAAAAAATAAGTATTTTCTTGATTTAACATTTTTTTAATAAGGATACTGCAACACTCTTGCATTTTTTGGGATTGTGTAATCTAATAGTAAAAAGACAGTTTTTTTTTTAATTTCACTTAAATTAAAGGTCACAGTGACTTCTACCTAAGATGCATAAATTGGCCAAGTTTGATGATTCTAAGTCCAATAGATTTCTAGTTATGAGCCGGACAGGATTTTTCCATATTTGGGCATAGCATCTTAATTAAAGGTCAGAGTGACCTACTTTTAATGCACGACACATCTTCTACCCAAGAAGTATCAGCTGACAAAGTTTGATAATCCTAGGCCTAATAGTATTAAAGTTATGAGCCAGACACGAGAAAAGCTAGCAGACAGACAGACAGACGGACATGAACGCCATAACATAATACGTCCCGTCTAAAGACGGGCGTATAAAAAGCCACATATGTAATACAAATCCCAACCACGAGGCCACATACATGTAAAACATCTTCCATAGGGAGGCTATATATATGTTACATAAATCAAACCAAAAAAGTCACATAATGTAACACAAATCCAAATGGGAGGCCCCATACAAGTAATACAATTCCCTACATGGAGGCCACATACATGTAACACAAATCCCGAAACGTAGGCCATGCACATGCAACACAAATCCCAAAATGAGGGCCAAAACATATCCTTAGTCTTGTACTATATGTTAATCAAATGATGCACATACAGTATTTGATTCTTGATTTTATTTTTTTTTGCACAATAATTCATGAATATTATTATACCTCTATTAAGAATACTCAAATTTGATTGGCTTGTTAGAAGGCTTTTAAACTCAATAATGACTCCAAAAAGTACCAGTTACAGCAATAATGACCTAGGAGTACTTGCACGTGGGGTATAAAAACCCGGTCATTATAAATAATGACCGCTAAAAATGACCTGTGAATCTAAATTCCATTCAAATTTAAAAACAAGAGGCCCATGGGCCACATCGCTCACCTGAGTAACTTTGGCCATGCTGTTCATTACCAGACTTCCCCCCTTGTAATACCTATTGTGGCCCCGCCCCACCCCCGGGGGTCATGATTTTAACAATTTAGAATCAACACTATCCCAGGATGCTTCCACATAAGTTTCAGTTTTTCTGGTCCAGTGGTTCTTGAGAAGATTTTTAAAGATTTTTCCTATATATTTCAATGTTTCCCTATTGTGGCCCCGCCCTACCCCCGGGGTCATGATTTGAACAATTTAGAATCTACACTATCCCAGGATGCTTCCACATAAGTTTCAGCTTTTTTGGCTCAGTGGTTCTTGAGAAGAAGATTTTTAAAGATTCTTCCTATATATTTCAATGTAAAACTTGTATTCCCTATTGTGGCCCCGCCCTACCCCCGGGGGTCATGATTTGAACAATTTAGAATCTACACTATCCCAGGATGCTTCCACATAAGTTTCAGCTTTTCTGGCTCAGTGGTTCTTGAGAAGAAGATTTTTAAAGATTTTTCCTATATATTTCAATGTAAAACTTGGATTCCCTATTGTGGCCCCGCCCTACCCCCGGGGGTCATGATTTGAACAATTTAGAATCTACACTACCCCAGGATGCTTCCACGTACGTTTCGGCTTTTCTGGCTCTGTGGTTCTTGGGAGAAGATTTTTAAAGATTTTCCTATATATTTCAATGCAAAACTTGTATTCCCTATTGTGGCCCTGCCCTACCCCCGGGGGTCCTGATTTGAACAATTTAGAATCTACACTATCCCAGGATGCTTCCACATAAGTTTCAGCTTTTCTGGCTCAGTGGTTCTTGAGAAGAAGATTTTTAAAGATTTTTCCTATATATTTCAATGCAAAACTTGGATTCCCTATTGTGGCCCCGCCCTATCCCCGGGGGTCCTGATTTGAACAATTTAGAATCTACACTATCCCAGGATGCTTCCACATAAGTTTCAGCTTTTCTGGCTCAGTGGTTCTTGAGAAGAAGATTTTTAAAGATTTTTCCTATATATTTCAATGCAAAACTTGGATTCCCTATTGTGGCCCCGCCCTATCCCCGGGGGTCATGATTTGAACAATTTAGAATCTACACTATCCCAGGATGCTTCCACATAAGTTTCAGCTTTTCTGGCTCAGTGGTTCTTGAGAAGAAGATTTTTAAAGATTTTTCCTATATATTTCAATGTAAAACTTGGATTCCCTATTGTGGCCCCGCCCTACCCCCGGGGGTCATGATTTGAACAATTTAGAATCTACACTACCCCAGGATGCTTCCACATAAGTTTCAGCTTTTCTGGCTCAGTGGGTCTTGAGAAGAAGATTTTTAAAGATTTTTCCTGTATATTTCTATGTAAAACATTGATTCCACATTGTGGCCCCGCCCTACCCCCGGGGGTCATGATTTGAACAATTTAGAATCTACACTACCCCAGGATGCTTCCATATAAGTTTCAGCTTTACTGGCCCTGTGGTTCTTGAGAAGAAGATTTTTTAATGACCCCACCCTATTTTTGTCTTCTCTTGATTATCTCCCCTTGTGAGGGGACTTGGCCCTTCATTTTAACAATTTAAATTCCCCTTCACCCAAGGATGCTTTGTACCAAGTTTGGTCAAAATTGGCCCAGTGGTTCTTGAGAAGAAGTCAAAAATGTGAAAAGTTTACAGACGGACGGACAGACAGACAGACAGACGGACAGACGGACGGACGGACGACGGACAAAATGTGATCAGAAAAGCTCACTTGAGCCTTCGGCTCAGGTGAGCTAATTAATGCATACAGTAATGACTGTTCATTACAAAAAATGCCGTTATAAAAATATGTTTAGTCTTTTCATGATACACAATACGATTGTCCTTTAGATGCGTCATAAAATTTATCGTTTACATTAAAACTTTCGTTACAATGTCAAATTCAACGAATGCAGACTTGGCTCTTTTGTACAGTAAAAGTCTGCACCAGATCGTCATTGTACTCAGAAATGGTATTTGTGAATTTATAAAAATGCATGTTACTGACAATCACAGAGTGTTTTAATATTAAATTGGCAGTGCAAAAACTTACAAGACTTGCAGGCGAAAAGTAAACAACTTCACTAGTGAATCCCAATCCCGATGAGACACTGATAATAACAGTTCATAGGTCTAATACACAATTGATTATTTTAGTAATTAAGCCTACAGAAATTGTCTTAACTTATATCGGTATAATAAAACAATTGATTACCCCTTATGAGTTCAACATAGTGAAATAAGGACCCTCGACATGCTTAACACAATATTCAGTTATAATGAATAACAAACTAGATATAATTGAGATGGTGGCCATCTCAAAGGGCCCCACTTTCAGCAAGGAACATGAAAATGTAAGGTAGCTGAAAAGGGTTTATTTTGAAGAGGAACATTTGTGTACTATTAAGGGATGTGTTGTTTGAGTCTAAAGGGCTTCTATGTCATCCTTGTTATAATAAAAAATGGCACGAAAATCACGAGTGCTCCATACCCTTTATCAAAAAACAGCTTAAAAAATCACAAATGTTGCATATCCTCTATGAAAATTGTTGCATATCCTCTATCAAAATATGGAAGGAAAATCACAAATGTTGCGTACCCTAAGTCAGTTGGTAAAGTTTGAGGCTGACTGGACTTAAGAGAAAGAAATTATGCACCGAACAAAGATTATAAAAAGAGAGGCTATTTTTGACCTTGACCCTTGACCTAGAAACTTCGTTCAAGGTCACTGCACATCCATTGACCAGTAGCACTCTGTGAGTGAAGTATGAGCCACATTGGACCAAGGGGAGAGAAGATATGCTCCGGACAAGGATTTTTCATATCATTCTGCTATGACCTTAACCTTAGACCTAGAAACATATTTCAAGGTCACTGCACACCCTTTACCCAAAGACACTCTGTGGGTGAAGTGTGAGCCAGATTGGGCCAAGGAGAGAGAAGATTTGCTCCGCACAAGAGATCTCGGACGGACAGACGGACAGACTGATCACTATAGGGCGCCCGCAGAGCGGGGCCCTAATAAATTAATGACTTGACATATAAAGCTATTTTTCCTTGCTGTCAGACTTACAATGTCCATGCCTCCTTTCTCAGGAGATGATGGCAGTGATGCTGAAAGCTTTGTGTCCAAGTCCTTAAGAACATTCATCATGTATGCAGATGACTCTACAAAATATCTCAAACATGTTACACAAAAACATTTCCTAACCTTCAACTAATATCTGATTTAGAGGCCAGGGAAACGTATCTCACAGAAAAGGCTTTTAATATGTTTTACACAACATCTGTAGTAGTTCTTTTTCTATAAATTTCCATTTTCTTTAATTCATATAAGTGTACAAGATAATAGGAACTTCATTTCTACTTTTATCATGCTTCAAATGAAGTCTTGAGTTGTCTAAATGAGACTGTTAACATAAAGAATAATTATAATATTGATTTACATTAATAGGTATCACCATTAATATGACTTAGCAAAACTCTGTTCTCTGGAATATAAAACAGGAATATGGCAAATTCCACCTGTAATAATACTGAGCATAATTTACATGACATCACATTACTAACCCATTGAACTTTTGGGATGTGTAGAATTTCTGAAGTCTGAAATTTTGTCCCAGTTGTCACGAACTAAAAATAGAAGTCTGAGTAAGCAAAATGTACACCAGAAATCTAATGCAACAGATAATCACAAACTTTCTCACCTAAACTTGAAAATTTTTGGAGTACTTTGTTTCAGTTTTTTTTAATTTTTCAAGAAGATACATGTACACTTACCATCCTCTGGGGTCATTTTCCTCCCTGCCTCACGGCAAACAGCCCCTTGAGTTCTTTCCCATCTCACTAAAATTAGCAACATCAAACAAACATCAGCTAAAAACACTCTGTCCCAAAAGATTTACATCTATTAGATCTATTGTGCTCTGTCAAAAGGAACAGAAAAGAGAGTCTTGTATGAAAACTGTTCTTACATTGCCCAATCCATCCTGCTCCACATTCAAATAGTGACCCATTTTCTGTGCAGGATTCATGACACAGATACAGAACAAGGGGCGATACATACTCAGGCTTCAGAGCTTCTACGATATCTGTGGAATATAATATCTAGAACACCTAATAATGATCCATTGAACTATTCACTGAAGAACCAACATTTTACTAATAAACATACATAGAGCCTTACCAGGCACATGAAATAAAACTGAAACAAAAGTACTGACAATATCTGAGACTCTACAGATGTCAGAAATCAGTTAAGTTTGACAATGGTTGGTAGAGCAAACCTGGAGGTAAGACTGTCTCTGTCATTCTGGATCCAGCCATCGGAGCTATGGTATTACAGAAAATGTTATTCTTCTTCCCCTCAATAGCAAGAGTATTCCCAAGGCCAAGAAGTCCAAGCTTGGCTAACAAAGAGAAAGAGTTCATAAATACTTCCTTCTGAAGCTAAACTTAATGTGACTGAGTTACAGTGCTTTGAAAGGCAGGAAGAAGACAGACTGACAAACACAAATATAAATCAGTGATATAGTTCACACAAGAAACTCTTGGACCTTAACAGACACCTGATTGTCACGATTTTATATGAACGAAATCTTATATTCTTTTTCTTCTTTCATAACTACTTCTTTGTAAAACTTGAGAGTTCTGTAATATCTGTGGTAAAAAAAGGTCTATGATATCCATAAATTTGAACACTTCATGATAAAAATCTAATAATTACAATAAAATGTTTTCTTACCTGCACTGTAATTAGCCTGACCAAAGTTACCATAGATACCAGCTGCAGATGTCACCATAATTATTCTGAATAACACAGTATAATACTACGTACTGCTAGCAGTATAAAGGCAAAAAAAAATCAGATCCTAACAAATTTATACTTTTACAGAGTGCCTTTAAATGATTATGATGATTTACAATTAAATGACAATTAATATTATTTGTATCATGGCTGTGGTGTTTTTCCTTTGAAGTCAAGTGTACAATAACTGGAGATACACCGATGGGCGGAGCCAGGAAAACTGTGCCGTGTAAATAAATTATTGAACACCAAGGCGATTTCAACATTTTACATTACATGTATATTGAATCTGAATTACAGAATGAAACGGGCTTTGTTATATACAGAGACAAAATTTCGAAATGTTTTTACGGAACTCTGCAAATATTCGATCCACCGCATCGAGAAATCAAGTTCTTGACATGAATTCCACAAATAAATATCTTAAAATATCACACCTATTGTAATAGAACCTTTTAGCAGGATACGGTACCATCTTTGCTGTATTTTTTGCTCAACTAGAATAAAGTTCAGCTGTACTGCATCCATAGATGAAGAGTTAACATAGCATTTTTGTTCATGCCACAGCTCTCGAATAGGTCAAATGAATAACGGGTATCTTTTTTTTTTTTCTTGATTTTCGATTAACACCTGAATTTCCCTTCAACTTCAAATTTTTCATCCTTGATATCCAAAGGTTTCTTATGAATTTCATTAACAATCCGTTTTTATATTAAGTTGGAGAGCTGCAATCCGACGTCCTTTCTCATGAACACACACATAAAATGTGCGAATTAAAAAAATACTGGCGGGAAGGAGAAAATATCCATACGGTCACCTGACAAAAACTATATTTTTTATTGGTGTAATGAAAAGTCATGCTTGAAAATTTGGAACATAACAATTATTGACGTTTTGATTGGCCATGATACAAGGAAGTTATTGAATATTTATGATGGTGTATCCTGATTTATTTGGACGAAGGGGCGGAGACTCGTGCTACGCACTCGTCACCGCCCTTTGTCCTAATAAATCAGGATACACCATAATAAATATACAATTATAACTATTACTTTTCAGTTTTTACTACAGCAACATAATTCTTGAAACTAAACCTACATGACACTCACCTTCCATAATTGTTCTTTTTCATGTGTGGCCATGCTGCTCTAGTTACCTGGAAGGAGCCCCTTAAGTGAACTTTATGAATTAAATCTGAAAAATGGATGTTTACTGTCATATTATAGATATGTTACCTAGGCACAGCTCATAATACACTGTCAGATTCTTTTTTCTTAGAATTCATTCATTAATTATTTCATTTTTTCCTACCAAAGACTGTCTGTGAGTTCACGCTATAAAGGTGTCACTACAGTCTTAATATTTTTATGTACAATTTTGAGTAAGCACTAAGCAGTATAAATTCAAAACTAACTTTTGAGGATATTCCTTATATATCTTGTAAATCAATTTTCTAAAACAATTTACTGGGTAGTACCAAAAAACACATAGCCATCCAACAAGGCTTGCAAATTTTTTCACTGGAAGTTGAGCATGCAAGTGCTTGAAAATCACTCCCCCCTCAAATGCAGCACACACAAAATTCAGCATCCCCAATATATTTTAGTTTATAAATCTATTATGATCAGAAAGTTTATATACAGCTTTTCATCTCATATAAAAATTCAGTCCAAAACTCAAGCAGAAATGTCCAGATTGTATGGGAGATTGAAGAATTATCTTGCTTTGGTCATGTTTTATCTTAAACCTCCAACAAAATACTGTCACAACACTGAAAGTTAAATCTTAAGTGACTCCAACAGTCTTAGTGTACACTGACCCCAATCTTGGTCACTGATCCGAGCAAAGGACCGGTCCCTCAGGATCCCTGCATTGTTCACAATTATATCTGTAATTCAGAAATGTTGTTCACAATTATATATGTAATGTAGAATCAATGTTCACCCAGGGAATGAATCAAATGAATTTTCTCTTACCAGCCCCAAAAATTCAGCAAGAAAATTACTTTTTCATGGGTGCTAGAAATACATAAAATTTGACTTACCAATGCGACCAAAGTTTTCCAGGGCAGTTTTCACCAGTTTCTCTCCTTCCTCAACAGAATCTGTACAATCATAGAAATAATAAGACCATGTCAACAGTTCTGGGATATGGTAGTTTACAATTATAAATTGGTATGGAGACTCCACACTCACACTGTTGAAAAACTGTATTAGTTTTTAAAAGGTCAGAAAAACAGAAATATCTACCTGGTAATTTCTGATCTCTCATTTTTGGTAAACAGCACTATCAAAATCACTTATAAAATGTTTTAAATGACTTTAATTTAATAATGAACATTCCTCATGATTGTAACTTTATCAAAATGCATATATTGTGGATATGAGAGAAAACAATTCACAAATAAAGTATATGAATGAAGATACATGAGTAAGAGTTATTGCCCTTTGAACATTTTTAAAAAGAATAAATAACTGAGTAGTTACAGTAAATTTTTTAATTATTTAATAATTACAGTTATTTTTAAATTCTTTTATTAACCAATATTTTTAATTACATCTATTTGAATCATTCTTGTGCAAGATATACTTCTATTGGGTGAAAAGTTAGTGAAAAATTTCGCAAAAACCGATGACATAACATGAGGGTGGAATTACATTTGTGCACATAAAATTAATTCTCTGCTTCTCAGGCCAATTTTCACCAAAACAGATGAGAGAGGGAGACTTTTTTAATAACCGTTTGATTGGTGAGATGGGGGAGGAATTTTTTAAACTCGGATTTTCTAAAAAAAAAAAAAAAAAGAAAAAAAAGTGTAAAAATTCTTTGTTCATAAACATACTATAAAAGTCTGATAAAGTAAATCTACATAACATCTCACAAAATTACCAAATATACTGTATTTGATGCTACTTAATCATCAGGGAATTACTACCATGTCTTCATCTTTGTTCATTACCAATAAAAACATACACTAAAGCACCAATTATTTAATCAAGAATGCTCAACTTGAAAATGTGATTGATCCACCAAAAAAATGAAACTACTTGTATTTCAAAATGTTCACTAATGATACTCATCAAGTTCTAATTAAACTGTTATATGGACAGATGTTTTCATATTTACAACACAAATACTTGTTGCTGTAAAATGCTTTTAATATTTTCGCACAGTATTTTTATCATTATCAGGGGCTGACAAATAATTTTTTTAGGCACTTGTCCAAGGGCAAGTGTATGGTGAAAATTCACTTGTCCTATCTGAATTTTTGCTTGCCCAACCATAAACTAATACACATGTACTGTATTTATACATATTTCAAAAAAATAGGCCCATGGGCAAGTGGTTGATAAAATTTCACTTGCCCTCTCCTAAAATTCACTAGCCCCGGGCGTCATGCAATGGGATTTGTCAGCCCCTGATTATAATAGCTGCCATTTTAAGTGAAGGAAAACAAAGCTGTGAATACTGTTATGAAATATTCTGCTGTGATAAGTACTTTTTGGCATCTTTGAGGAAGCAACAGGTATACATGTTATTCAAGGCACTTGTTTCAGTAATAAATTTTTTAACCCATAGTACAATAATAAAACAAGGTATGCAACTCCAAAGTACATAGAGTGCCCCCCTCCCCAGAAATGCACTCATTTACACTTTCATAGGAAAGCACTAGAAAACTGTTTATGACCATTGTCTTCTACGATAATTTATCTACACAACCATATATGTTATGCTTGTCTTTATTTTCTTTTATCTCTGTAAACAGCATCAATACTCTGCTCGCCAACTGAAAAATTTGTCTCACACCACGGAATGATATGTGCTAACCTCTGGTGGAATATTTACCTGGATTTTGATTGGATAAAATTTTTTTCTAAAATTACATCAGAAAAATATTGTATAGTTCTTATGGAAAATAAAAACGTGAACAAATTCTAATTATTCGCTGCAATATTTAAACACTGATCAGAAATTGAATTTTTAAACCCACTCATTTTCAAAGCTCTCTGTCCAGGATTAGCACTTACCATTCGACTGGTGTGAGACAAATTTTAAAGTGATCAGAAAAGCTCACTTAACGAGGTTCGCTCCTGAACTTTTGATCAGATTTATATCTTTACCTATATTTTAAAAATTCTGCATAAAGTTTTAATTCTTACAATAAATTTGGATTCTACAATACCAATTAAACTATATTTAGTTAAAACTCCATGATTGAATTCCATACCAAAAGCAATAAGTGAGGAACTATATTTTGTGGCGGAAGGTTTTTTAGAAGAAAATGATCATTTTTTCTCTTTCGAAGTGTTTAAAGTATGTTAAGTTTGGGTTCCTATTTTTCCATGCAGCCTGCACACAAAGTTATTTTGTACAGTGAACTGTTTTGTATTTGTCCTAAATTGTATATCAAATAAACTGTCATGGATTCTATCATCATATTTCAGAAATATAGCAAATATATTGTGAAAATCAAGAAAAAAATATCCCTATTTTAAGCTTCAAATTAGCACTATTTTAGTAATATCTAAAAATTAACATCACAGACCCCCACTTTTTATTTTCTTTTCTGAATATATAAGATACTTTTAACCATTCTTCTTAAATTCAGTAAAATGTCATTACTTTCAAATTATTTTTTTTGCTTGTTAAAATTTTTAATGCCAGAAAAATGAAATTTTTTGAGTGCAAAAAGGTCAAATAATTGTACATGCGGAGTAATTTGAAAATTTTTTCGTTGTCACAAATTTTAATGTGTCTATTCGTGATGAAATAAGGCTGTGTTTGTTCCCATAATTTATTTGAATAAAAAATATTGGTGGAAAAACTTTAAAAATTGATTTATATGTAAGACGTATTTACAGTGCAAAAAGGTCAAACTAAATGCTCTGTAGCGCCAAAAGAAGCGCATTGACCCCCAGTTTTTGTTTTGATTTTTAATTAAGCTATGTGTATAAATTCTTAAAATATACTTGATAAAAAATTCTCATTACTTTTGGTGGCAGGATCCAACCTCCTTAAGCCTTCGGCTCAGGTGAGCTAAAAATGATTCCTAATAAAAACTGTTGCACCCCCACCCAAGACTGACCATAATTAGGAACGGCTTTTCCTCCTTTGGCTCGGATTTCCTCCACCACTACATCAGCAGCTCTGGAACTCTTTCCTTCCCCCTTAAAGTTTCCTCCTAGGTCATTCACTAGACACAAATCACTTATCAATTAAAAACTTAAGTAAAGCATTGTTAGTTTTAGTACACTGTATCAAACAGTTTTGTACAAAATCATCTTTATATGTCATTCACTAGATAAAAATCACATCTTAATTAAAAACTTAACTAAAGTACACTATATAAAACAGATTTGTACAAAATTATCATTATATGTCTGTAAATGGAATCACAGTCAAACCTCATTATCTCGAACTCAAAGGTACTGAGAAAATACTTCGAGATAACCGAGGACTCAAGATATCCAGGGTAAAATACTTAAGGAATAAGCAGTTGGGACTTCAAAATGACTTCGATATATCCATGGTATTCAAGATATCCATGTTCAAGATACCAAAGTTCAACTGAATATTTTAAATAATCCCTTTATAAGTATTGCACTTCATTTATTTCATGTTTATCTAATATATGTAATTAACTGCTCTTTTTCATGTATGGGAAAAATTTTTTAAATATATGACAGACAACGAATGATTAACATTATATTCAAACAGAATTACTGCTGTTCAACCATGGCAACAATTAGAATAAACATCCATGCATAAAAAAAATAACATCACTATCTAATAATTTATCAGTCCTAGATCAAATTATTCATCATTATCTGCCATTATCATCTTATAGATTTGTTATCTATACCGGATATTCAAGTTAACAACATCAGTATGAAAGCTTACCGACCACTGATGCCCCTCTCTCTGCGAAACACAACGCATACTCCCGTCCCAGTCCTGTAAAAAAAAATTTACTTCTATATTTAATATATTTAGCTTTTATATATACAAGAATGGTTATAATATGGGCAGCTAAGACTAGGGGGCACCCTAGGCCTTTTTCAATTGAAGGGTAATAAGAGTTCCCTATTCAACATGGTATGTCATGTTAATCCTTTGACATAGACCTTCATAAAAAAGGCTGACATGTGAAAATGAGCATGTTGACACACATGTCAGAGATATGGATTGAATGGCGCATGAAGGAAAAGGTGCTTACTGATTTCACATAAAATGATAGATACAATAGATTACGTGTAATTATTATTTGTTTTTGATGGATTCTTGAATTTGACTGTTAGTAGATCCACCAGAGGGTATGATGGATGTTAAGAAGCCTACATGGAAGGAATTGAAAGAAGTGGTTAAAAAAGCAAGATCAGGCTCAGCTCCTGGACCATATGGGATACCATACATAGTGTATAAGAGTGCCCAAAGTTACTGAGAAAATTGTGGCAACTTTTTCGAGTAATCTGGAGGAAAGGGACAATACCAGTGTGCTGGAAAGAGGCAGAGGGATGTTTTGTACCGAAAGAGAAGAACTCGAGGACAATTAACCAGTTTAGAATAATATCTTTGCTAAATGTGGAGGAGAAAATGTTCATGTCAGTGCTAGCAAAGCGAATATCAGGGTACATGGTGGACAACAGATACATAGATCCATCTATTCAGAAGGCAGGCACACCTGGGTACTCCGGATGCATAGAGCACACAAGTGTCATAAACCAAATCATGAAGGAGGCCAAAGAAGGCAAGAAAAACTTTGCAGCATTGTGGTTAGACCTAGCTTACGCATATGGATCTGTGCCCCACAAGCTGATTGAATCAGCGATGGAGCTGTACCATATACCAGAGAAGGTTCAGGGGATTGTCAAGAGCTACTTCGGAGGAATGCAGCTCCAGTTCACTGTCGATGACTACACCACATCCTGGCAAAGAGTAGAGAAAGGGATAGTCACAGGATGTACAATCTCTCCTATCCTGTTTGTAATGGGTATGGGGATGGTGACCAGGACTGCAGAAAGAGAAACAAGAGGGCCAAGGATGGACTCGGGGATTTATCAGCCACCAATTAGAGGCTTTATGGATGATCTCACTGTGACAACAACAACTCACATACAGGCAAGATGTGTCCTATCTGCATTGGAAGATAGCGTTGAAGTTCAAGCCAAAGAAATCCAGATGTCTTGTATTGAGAAAGGGGCGTATCAACAGGCTAGTCAAGATGCAGTCAGGGAGAAGAGATCCCATCAATTGTAGGAAACCCGATTAAATGTTTGGAAAAGTTGTTTTATGAATCCCTCACAGACAAAGATAGCGTCGAGGACACAAAGAAGAAGCTCCTTTCTTGGTTAAAAATGGTTGATGGAAGCGGATTACCTGGAAAATATAAAGTATAGATCTACCAGCATGGGATCCTACCAAGACTTATGTGGCTGCTCCTCATATATGAAATTGCAACTTCTACGGTCGAAGCCATGGAAAGGAAAATTAGTGGGTATCTGAAGAGGTGGTTAGGAGTTCCACCATCATTTACATCGATTGGACTCTACAGCAACTCATCCCAGTTACGCATACCAGTTTCCTCTGTGGTGGAAGAATTCAAGGTAGCAAAATGCCGCTTGGTAATGACATTACGTGACTCAGCTGATGACAGGGTTGCAGAAGAAGGGATTCAGACAAGGACAGGAAGAAAATGGTCAGCAAAAACAACAGTGGACCAAGCAGAGAGTATGTTATACTTAGGAGACATCACTGGAAACACAAGCACTGGGCGACAGGGCGTGGGAATGTCACACTTCCAGCAGTGGTCAAAGCAGCAGCAGCAGAGAGGCACACCATGGTTCAGGCTGAAGTACGGCGCACTGAGGAAGATCAATGGAAAGCAAAATCAACAGAACTTGGAAAGCAAGGGGCCTGGATGAAGTGGGACTTACCAGAGCGAGAATTAACCTGGGCAGAACTGTGGAGGAAGGATCAGTTTAGAATCTCATTCCTGCTGAGGTCAGTGTATGACACACTACCATCTCCTGTAAACTTGCAATAGTGGGGGCTAAGGGAGGAACCTAACTGCAATCTATGTGGGAAGAGAGGGACCATGGCGCATATTCTATCAGGATGCCAGGTTGCACTGACTCAGGGGAGATATAGATGACGACATGACAAAGTCCTGCGGGAGTTGGCTGATGTGCTGGAGGCGGAGAGAAGAAGGAAACGATCACCAGACAAGAAACAAAGACAGATACAGTTTGTGAGACAAAGTGAAGCAACGGCTGACACAAGAGCAGCAAGGCAGACATCAGTGTTGGATAGAGGGAATGACTGGGAGCTCAGAGTGGACCTAGACAGGAATTTAGTTTTCCCTAACATCGTGGAAACCAACCTATGACCAAACGCAGTTTTAGTGTCCCAGCAGTCGAAGATGTTAGTTACAATAGAGCTGACCGTGCCATGGGAAGAAAATTGTGAGGAGGAACATGAGAGGAAGAGCCTTAAGTATGCAGACCTCATGGCAGACTGCAAGAATAGAGGATGGAGTGTTTGGTTGTTTCTGATAGAGGTCGGCTGCAGAGGGTTTCCAGCGCAATCGGTGTGGAAGCTGCTCACACAATTAGGTGTATCAGGAAGAGCATGCAAGACAACAACAAGGAGACTGGGAGAAGCAGCAGAGAAGTCATCCTGCTGGATATGGCACTGCCGAGATGATCTGTGCTGGAAGTCGGGATCCATCGAGTGGTGGATTGGCCACCACTGCTGACCCACCAACTGGAGGATGTCATGGTTTAGTGTTGAAACATCCGGTGAAGGTTGGAGACCATCTGATGACGATCAGAACCGACAGGCGAGCACTAGGGGCGGAAGTGACAGATAGTGAAAGGTATGCTTAAGAGTGCCAAGCTGACAGTAAGCAGAAATCCATTTTCTGAAGTGCATACTGTTATAATATTTCAAAATTTGATCTGCAGATTTTCAGAATGCAAAAAATGACTTCACAATTGCATTCATTTACTAACCTCGGACGTAAACGGTGTTCTACCATCTTGCTGATACAGTTATGTGATCTTATTTTAAATTCCTTCAAATGTTACACCTTTGAAATCTGAGTTACTTTGTGGCATGACAACACTAACATAAGGGTGTAATCAAAACCAATATACAATGAAGAATTAGACAAGTTAAAAAAAAAACCTAAGTGCAGGGTACTTTGATACTTTTCAGTGTTTATGTAGTGAATTCTAATCTATATTTAAAGATTAAACATCATTTTATTTTTTTCTGGGATTAGCTTGTGGAAATTATTAATTTGGAGACATGCATACATAACATTATTATTTTGTGTATGACTTTGGTATTTTAAATAATCTGCTTAACTTGGTATTCAAAATTTATATTCAATCTTGCACTTGTGTGAGCATGCATTGTCCTCCCCCACCACTTTCTCTCACAAATGCATGGAATATGCACAAACCTGCAATATCCAAAATTAGTTTGAGAAACTGAGATTGCACTGATCGAACAATTGGTATTCAAAAATTATATTCAATGCTGCACTTGTGTGAGCATTGACCCTCCTCCACCACTTTCTCGGAGTACAAATGCATGGAATACATGTATGTACAAACCTGCAATATCTGCAATTAGTTTGAGAAACTGAGACTGCACTGGGCAGTGGCCGAACAACATGCATAATTACATGTCTTAAAGTATGGCAATTTCTAGAACATAGCAATACACCAATCTATCTTTTTTATAACATTCCAGTTTCTGAACTTAAGGAGAGATATGCATGGACTTTGCACCGTTTTCTTTTCTGCAAAAAAAGAGAGCTAAATCCTGATTTTAGACACGATGCCATTGACATTCTTCTCGACAAGTGAAAAAATATATAAGAAGACAAACCATTTCCTGCGCCAGTCACTAAAACAACTTTCCCGTCAAACCGCAAGGGCGCTGACATCTTGGGAACGATGACTGAAGTGAACTTTCAACTCCACAGTCCCTTTATATCCCGATTGGTCGACAATTTACCTTTGAACTTGAGGTCAAAGTTGGAGCAATATTCATTGGTCCTCGTGGCAAACTCCGACAGCACTTCCGATAGAGCTGTAAACAGTTGCAGAGAAAATGCGGCAGTTTCTTATAATTTTGTTTACTGTAGCCACTGTCAGTTGTTTCGAGATGGATGAGGACGAGATTCAGGTAGCCACCTTTGACGTGAAGCCGGGAGGCGAACTGCTATCCTTTGAAAAGGAATGGGTACGTCTGAAAGCAACGAGTTATTGATCTCATTTTTAGAGTAGCCTCCCTTGCATATAAGAATCTCCCTGCAATAGAAGCCTAAATGGTGTTTCAAAGGCTTTGCTGCTTTATATTTATGTACAAATGGTGTTTATCTCTGGTCCATTATTACTGTCAAAGACCCATTAACCTTTCTTTATCAACATATTACATTTTTTTTTAGGATGGAGTCACATGTAAATTTTCATACCAAGCTCAAGGAGGAACCAATGAGGTATAAATTTTTCATATGTAGGATATATACATGTATATATATATATATATATATATATATATATATATATATATATATATAGTTTGGTATGTCAACCACTGATATTTCAAATACCATGGGTATGTTGAAGTGATATGGATGTCCCAACCCCTTTTAATTATTAATAATTAATTACCCTGGATATCTTGATCAAATCATCTGATAGATAGAATGTTCTATCGTTAAAATGATAAATGTCCTACAGACCCGGTTTAACCAGTGGTGAGGGCCTAGCTGCAATAATGTAGCCCTCTCCGATTTTTTTTAATCTGATATTTTCAGGAGAAAAAAAAAAAAAAACGGAGAGGGCTACATTATTGCAGCTAGTGAGGGCCTGTCCCGAGACACAATTAGATTATTCTAACTAATCATCTGATATCTTGGAGTTTTTTTCTCAGTCCCATTGATCGAGTTCATGATGCTTCACTAGCTATAGTATTATTATCTTCAGAGAAGTGGACAGACTTTAGCCTAAATCTAGACTATGCCTGTCCATTCTGTAAAGATAGAAGAAAATAGGCCATGCCTGTCAATTCTATAAAGAAAATAGGTTAGCCTTATCCCTTCTGTAAAGTTAAAATAGGCTATGCCTGTCCCCTTCTCTAAAGAGAATATAGTTATGAAGTGTGTTTATAATTTTACATTGATTTTGCCTGTGACCACTGTACATCTTGTTATAGGAGTGGACAATGGGGATGGTGCGTAGTGACGACCACCAGGAGTTCAGCTGCTCTGTAGAACGCCCACAGTCTTACCTTTTCTTCCAGGCCTTTAAGATGGAGTTGACAGGGATCCCAGCAGTGGAAGGAGAGGTCTATGTAAGGATCATACTATGGCAAATTAATTACCAAATTTTCAACACTGATCAGTTTCAAGGTTCTTTTCTTTTAAATCAATGTTTAATTTTATTTAATTTTATTTATTTATTTATTTTATTTATTTACAGGGCCCTGGAATGACACATTTAAAGCCAGAAGAATTCAAATTTGACAAAGCTGCCAATAAAAGTATATAATTTTTAGCTCAATTTAATTTTAATTCTATTTATTTGGAACATTTAATGAATATTTATCTTCTTTTTTTTTTTTCTTTTTTTTTTTTTTTACATTTCAGTCTCAGAAACAGGTAAATTCCATTCTCAGTTGGACAAAGTTGTTCTGTATGCCAGAAGAGGGAAAACTGAATTATAGACCTAGCTGTCTCAAAAAAGCCATCGAAAATTTTCAAAGTCAAACTCTGCAAAGAAGTGAAAATTGAATCATTAAGAAATGACCTTATTTATTGTATATCATCATGTACAGAAGAATACATACAAATATGTAGATTTTTTTCTTTTTATGGGGGGGGGGGGTGTTAATCTCTGAATTTAACAAAAAGGCAGCAGTAAGAGAATGAGTTTCATTTTTATTCTGTCTTATTCTAATAAATATTATTGATAGGTTGAATAGAAAAAAAACACTCCACATGGTAAGCTGCATAGAGTATAATTTCTGGTAATTTAAGTTAATTGTAATCATGCAAGTAGATCTTATTTTCTAATATTTTAAGAGAATGTAAAAGTTAAGAGTTGATTTCTTGGATGTTTTCTTTTTTTGCACATCAGTCACAAAGGCCACTGTTACAGTGCTAACTAGTGATATCTTCTCAATCAGTTTTGACATTGTATAATGCTTCCTATGAGGGGGTATTTTTTTTTTTTTACAAGCTTCACACTATCATTCCTCTTGCATGTTGATAACAAGAGTGCAAGAATCAAATTTCATTTAAATCAAGGTGTTTAGTTGTGAACTTCAAAGATTTTTTTTTCCTTAAAGATTTGAATGTGTGATGTTGTTTATAGATTTGACACTCTGGTATGTGTGGCAGTTCTGCCCAGAGCAATGCAAGTGTATTTATTATGAATAGCTTTAATTATTTAACCCTTTTTTTTTTTTACAAAAAAAATTGAGAATTTTTTTATTCCTTTCAATAGAGTTAATCCATAGGGATATACAGATATTTCATCTGAAAATCTTGACTATAAAAAAATAAACAGCTATTTGTATGCCAAACTTGTATAGTTTGGCCTCCAAATATTCCTTAAACTTCCATAAACTTAATGAATCTCTAGTCTCTGAGAAAGTTTTAATTTTGCAGTTTTTGTAAATACAAGTACTAATTGGATTTCAGTATCAACAGACTCGCAAGTTTTCTAATGTACATGAAGATATTTATTTTTATGGTTTTAATATGTGGAGAACATTTGATTGTTGTGTAAACTAGGGTAGCTGGTTGTTATATAATTTACAAGAGAACTTATTTGTTCTGAGAGGATTCCACTGGTGGAGATATCCACACTAGTTTTGTGATTTTATCATTATTATTGTTATTTTGGATGAAAGATTTGTGTGAATGTAGAGCAATCTTCCTAGGGTCGTACAATGAGATCTGCATGTGTACATTTACATCAATCATTTACGTCACATCTTTGTATACGTGGTCACCAGACTCTAAATTCCTGGTTTGTTCTATAGAAGTCATAGAACTAGCAGGTGTCAGAATTATCAAAATTTGTTTTATATATTTTTTTTTTTGCTCTTTTCAAACTTTCATTCTAATAAATATTGTGTAATTTTTTGGTAATTAATTGCTTTAAATATTTAGTATGTCTGCCTGTATGTTGTTCCTTTAATGAATGTAAGAGCAATACTTCTCTCATTAAAAACCAAATTAATGATTTATATACAGTGTTTGAAGAGTTATTTAATAGATGGAAAAATTAGATTACCTGTTTATGTATCAGGTACTTGTAGTTGCAGATTTTTCAAATGCCCTTGTGTTACCTTTTACATCTATGTTCACAACAAAGTGCAAGGAAATAGTTTTGCAAATTCAAGGTCTCATTATGAATGTCTACCTGGTACATGTTCAACTTTTTTGAAGAAAAGTACTTGCTATGGTCATTTCCAACAAATTGTAAATATATTGAAAAGCAATGTAAAAGCTATCTATTCCCCGTAATGCTTAACTTGACCCTTTCTAATCAATTTAACACATTTTTCTGTTGATATTCATGGATATAATTAAATTTGATATAACAAAGTCTAAACAGTTGATCAACTGCTGAACTGTAAAATCTCTTATTTTTGTCGGGTCAAATTTTAGTGGTTTGCGGAAAAGATGTTAATTCTGGAAATTTGATTTCATGCTTTAAGGACAAAGTTTAAGCCAACATTTAAGTATTTAAAAATCATATTTCTGGATCTAGGTCATGAGGTCAAAATTGAAAAATCAAAGTACTTTCAAAAGTTCTTGTCACAGGTAATGCACATGTTCAAAAATATGAAAGCCTTGTCTCTTCTGGTGCAAAAATTAAAACTGATGACAAGTAAGTCAAAGTTCAAAAATCATGATTCATTGGTAAAGATTATGCACATGTAGGAATATGAAAGTTCTTTCTCTCAAGTGCAAAACAAAAGCTACTGACAGCCAAGGTTAAAAGTGGGTCAAATATCAAGGTCAGGAGGTCATTCAGAAAGGACTTTCACAGGAAATGTACATGTAAAAAATGAAAGCCTTATCTTCTCTCATTCAAAAAGCTATGACCAGTTTTAAAATGTTTGAGAGGTAAGTGAAACTTTCAGGCCATGAGATTAAAAATCTTAGTACAAAAGTGGGTCAAACTTCAAGGTCATTAGGTAAAAACAAATCTTAGTACATTTTTTTTATAGATTTTTTCACAGATAATGTACTGCTAAAAATGAAAGCTTTATCTTCTCTTATTTAAAAGGTTAAAATATTCAAAAAGCAAGTTAAACTTCAAGGTCAGGAAGTGAAAAATCATAGAACATTGTACATTCAGAAAGGTCTTGCACTTGTGGTGATGCACTTGTGGAATATGAAAGCTCTATCTTCTCTCATTTAAAAGGTATGACCAAGGTTTAAGTTTTAGTGACAGAGAGACAGACAAATGAGATATGTCCCGTGTGTCACGAAAGTTGGCAGACAAAAATTTTAGACCCAAAACAATTGTAAACAAGATGTGTTTGTGAAACACTGATGCCCCTGCATGGCAGCTCATGGAGTAGGTTGATATTCCAAAAGGCTAGTAAACTCCAAGGTTAAGAGATCAAAAATGTTGGTACCCAACAAAAGGCCTTGTCACAAGAAATACACCTGTGAAATATAAAAGCTCTAGCACCAACCATTCAAAAGTTATGGCCAAGATTAAATCTGAAGTAGGTCAAACTGCAGGGTCAAAGTGTCAAAATTGTTGATACCCAAGGGGAGGTCTAAATGTCACAAGGAATCCATGACATCTATAATATGAAAGCCCTAGCTCCAACCATTCAAAACTTATGGCCAAGGTTAAAGTTTTTTAAGAGTTGGTCAAACTCCAATGTCAAAAATGTTCATACCAAGGAAAGGCCTAATCACAAAGAATACACATATGAAGTACAGGTAAACTTCGGTATCTCGACATCGGATATGTCGACAACCTGGGATATGTCGACGTCCGTCAGCAGTCCCGGCATGATTTACTATATAAATGATTTGCAAAAACTCTGATATATCAACCTCGATAATGTCGACAACCCGGGTTATCTCGACGTATATTCACAGTCCCAAGAGCAAAATTTACCTTGTTTATGTCGACATCGGCAATTTTCTGCTCTACTGAACGTAACTGTTTGTAAGATAGGGTCGCTCGTCACGCACGTACGCACTCTGGGTATCTCGACGTCATAAAAAATTCACACCTGTCACACCCATGTTTTGACTGCGCATTGCTTAATTAATTCTATGGATTGTGTTTCTAGGTGAATCCAAAGCCCCTTCGGCGTCTATGAGACGTTTAAATTGCTTAATCGTTCAGCTTGGGTAATATCATTGATAAATCTACACGATTCTGCGCAGATGTAAAGGAGTTTATTTATATCAAAACCTAACATAATTTTTAAATTGGAAAAAGGTAACTAAATTGAATACCAAACATACTGAATAAATTCAAAGTGAGGAATTAAAAGATATTCTAATGATATTTTGAAGTTAAAATGCATTCAACAGAAAACAATCCAATTAACGACACGATAAACCGAATCAGTCGTAATTCAGGCATCTGTAACATCACTACGTTAGTTTAGATACACAAATCTCTTTAAAAAATAATTTTAATGTACATTCTTCCTGAATGAAATAAGAAAAAAATAATTACGCATTTGATTTTTTTCCATATCACGGTTCAAAGTTTATAGAGCGCATTTCGTATCCTGTTCTGACAAAAAAAACAAGTTAAACGCGATGGAAAACTTTGTAAAGTCTCAACGCTGGTATCTCGACACCTCGGATATCTCGACATTTTCCTATGGTACAGTCAATGTCGAGATAACGAAGTTTACCTGTATTAAAGCCCAAGCACCAACTATTCAAAAGTTATGACTTATGACCAAGGTTGAAGTTTGGTAAAACTTTACAAAAGTGGATCAAGCTTCAAGGTCAAGAGGTCAAATATTGGAACCTAAAAAAGGCCTTGTCACAAGGAATACATATTTGAAATATGAAAGCAATAGCTCTAACCAATCAAGTTATGGGCAAGGTTCATTCAAGATTTTGCGGACAAGCAGACGGACCCAGCCAAAACTATATGCCCTCCATTCTTTGATTACAGGGGCATTAAAAAATACATGGATTCCTAGCACATCATACCAACATTCTGATAACATATCATTTTTCATTTTTAGTTCACCTGCACCGAAGGCTCAAGTGAGCTTTTCTGATCAAAATTCCGTTTTCTGTCATCTTCGTCATTGTAAACTTTTCACAATTTTGTCTTCTTCTCCAGAACCACTGAGGCAATTTCAACCAAACTTGGCACAGAGTATCCCTGGGTGAAGGGGATTCAATTTTGTTCAAATGAAGGGCCACACCCTCTTCCAAGGGGACATAATTACACATAAGTGAAAAATTAATGGCATATTTTAAAAATATTCTTCTCAAGAACCAGTCTGGGCCAGGAAAGATGAAACTCATGTGGAATCATCCTCTGGTGGTGTAGATTCAAATTCGTTCAAATCATGACCCTGGGGGGAAGGGCGGAGCCAAATTGGAGGATCAAAGTTTTACAAAGGATAATGTAGGAAAAAATCTTTAAAATCTTCTTCTCAAGAACAGCAAAGCCATAATTGATCATATTTATATGGGAGCATCCTCAGTAAGTGCCTGCAAAATTAAAAAAGTAGGTCACTGTGGCCTACTTTTGAGTCAAAATGATATGAGGTCCCAAAATGCATCAACTGACAAGGTTTGATTATCCTAGTCCTTATAGTAAACAAAATATCAAAGTTTTATCAAAACATAACTTTTGGTCAACTTTGAAGTGACCTTGAGACCATGCCCTTTGCCCCAAGGTGATGCCGTGAACAAATTTTAATCTACAACATATCCTCAATCTTGTGTGTAAGTTTGGTGATAATCTGTCTGGCGGTTCTTAAGAAGAATATTTTTTAGCAAACAGTAATTTTCTTTTTATTTACCTAATTATCTCCCCTTGTTTAAGGGTCACATCCCTTGTTTTAGTAAAAATGAGAAACCTTGGGCCAAGGATACTTTGTGACAAAAATCGGTCAAGGGGTTCTTTAGATATGGCCCATATTCTAAAAAGTTTACGCACACCGCACAAATGGCCATAGCATTAGCTCTTTGAGCCTTTGGCTCACTAGAAGAGCTAAAAATGTTGATTGTATATATGAAGCTTGAATGAAAATAAAAATTTTAAGATTTTATTTTTGTGTTGTGCTGTAATTTATTTATTGAATTAAAGTGATATTTTATCACAATGTGAAAGAATTTTCAAGTGATATTCTGTTACAGTGGGACAGAATATCAGAAGTGCAGCAAAACACTCCATTTTTTTTCCTTTGACACAGAAAGTTGTAAAAAGTACTCTTGGGCTTGTTATAAGATAGAACAAGAGATGTTTGTGAAACACTTATGTCCCCCCCCCCAATATAATTGGAATTTTTCTAAGTCCAAGGGGCATAACTCTGTCAAAAATTGCTCAATTGTACCCATAACAGAACTTGACTTAGATATTTTTATGTTAAATCTGTATACCAAATTTCATTTCAGTATGTGCAACCTCTACAAAGAAAATGAACGGAAACTGCAAATAATAGGAATTTTCCTAAATCCAAGGGGCATAACTCTGTCAAAAATTGATCGTTTCCAAATCCAAGGGGCATAACTCTGTCAAAAATTGCTCGATCATACCCAAAACAGAACTTGACCTCGGTATTCTTAAGATATATCTGTATACCAAATTTCATTTCAGTATGTGCAACCTCTGCGAAGAAAATGAACAGAAACTGTTGGTGGACCGACAAACCAACCGACAGACAGACAGCAGCAAAGCAATATTTATTTAGCAGCAAAGCAGTATTTCTTCGAAGGGAGGCATAAAAAATTTCCTAATTTTCTTGCTGGTTCATGTATAAATACAGTCAGAAACAGACTGAAAATGATTCTGACAAATGATGGTTTATTGTTTTGTTTACTACTTATTCGCTATTTTTGTTAATATGACTTAGTCCTATCCCAACTTAATTCTTTTACACTGTTTGTATGTAAGCGAGTGTTGAATTTACCATTAGAAGAGGCATTTCATCTGCGTCACTTATAACTGCTGACCTCGTGCACTAGAACATCAACATGAAAGTGAATGTTGTTACTTTAACGATAAAATATTGATTATTTTTAGTAGAACTGAAAATGTGACAAAAATTTGGTACGAACAAACACGTACAGGAAGTTGACAAATAATTGGAATTTTTCTGAGTCCAAGGGGCATAACTCTATCAAAAATTGCTTGATCGTACCCAAAACGGACCTTGACCTATATATTTTTATGATAAATCTGTATACCAAATTTCATTTCAGTGTGTGCAACCTCTGCAAAGAAAATGAACGGAAACTATTGGTGGACCGACAGACAGACAGACAGACCAACAGATAGACAGCAGCAAAGCAATATGCCCTCAATTCTTCGGGGGGCATAATAAAATAATCCTTCCTGACCGAGACTAAAACTGCCAAAGTATCTCCAAATATGTTGTTGAATCACGTTTACAATGTTTTCTGTCTTCTCAACCACTCAACTATGATGTCGCACGCCACTGTGTTATGAAACGGGAAAATGAAAGAAAATGTAATTTAAACAGAAAATTCAATATTTTAAAGTTGGATATGGAATTTATTTTACTCATATGAGAAAGGATATTTTAATATTTTCACTTGTGCTTTGCATTCATGAAAATATAAAAAAAAAAAAAAACTCTCTATATATAAATGTGTACTTGGGGAATGTTTGCTTATGCATGCTAATATAGCAGAGGAGTTCCTGCATAAAGTGTATGTATATTAATTTTATCTCCTTCCTGCATCACTTCAGAATTGGTCTGTCTATTCTTTTCTGAATGATCAATAATTTTGTGGCACAGGTCTGCAATTTGTTTTTATACAGGAAACATCCGTGACCAACAGTTTAGGCAGTTTCTACATCTATACACAAATATTGAAGGTTATCAAACCACAAAACAATAATTCTTTCTTGTTTAATTAAATAGCCAAAAAAAGATGACAATGCCGGATGATAACAATAGTTAATAATTATTCACAACAGTAATAGTGCATGTTGCTTATATATAACCACATGCCAATCAATAAAATCTATTTAAAATACACAAAAACAAATATATCACAGCTTTCACTTGTGTGTAGCTTGTAGATAGCGCAGGAATATATATCCAGAAGCTTAAATGCTTCTCAAAAGGTAAAACACTGCTTATACCATGTATACAATACTAAGGTCAATATAACTACATATCTAGATGAAGGCATGGTAACAGTTAAATGCAAAATAACAAAATATGACAAAGAACTATAGTCATTGAATGAAAAGAGAAATGATACAACATCCGGAACAATGGGGAAGTGTACATGAGGAAATTTTTTTTTAAAAAAATTGGCAACTTTTTCTTTAATAATAACTTTATGTTTCATTTTGTTCCTTTTACTTGCAAATATCATTTGTTAACCAAATTTTCAACAATTTAGGATGTAACGTTAGACTACTTTTTTTTGCATCCATTTCATTTATAAATTAAACTATGTTATAATATTTATCATTATTAACCATCATATATGTTATATTTACCATTATTAATTTTTAAATTAACTTTTAAATTCATTATCTGTCAAAAAGTTAGCATTTTAAAAAAACTTTGCTGTATGATTGAAGAGGCATAACTCTGTATGTTAGCTACTCTAAATGACAAAATGTCACTCATACAAAGATACCAGGGTTGTTCCAAGATTTGAAATAGCAGGGGACTTAAACAAGTAGAAGAGGGTCTGGAGTTCCTCCCCTAAGAGGGGGTTGAGGAGTAATACCAGAATACTCGGAGGATTATGTCATTATAGACAGGGAAATTCCCTGTCCCCAAGGTCTTAGGGACAACCCTGATAAACAGAAAAACAGTCATTAAATTACATGTAACAAAACAGCTGCGCAGTTCAATGACACAAAAACTCAAAACCAGTGCAAAAAAAAAAAAAAACATTTATGATTCTCCTAAGCCATCTTAACCCTTGTTCCTTTAACATCAATTGAGCACTATTTGAGAATGATCTCATCACACAAATTGTTTCATAGTAATGTATTTAATTATATCTCAAGTTAGAAAAAAATATACTCTGAATTTAGTTTCTATTAATGATTTACACTCCTACACAGGCAAAAGTGGCTTACATAAATTTTATATGAAATTCACATGAATTTCATGTGAATTCTTTGCATGAGAAAGAGAAAAAAAAACAAGATGTGAAATTTATGTGAAAACTTAAAGCCTTTTTGACATAACTTTCATATGAATTTTACATGAAGAGCATATCGCATATATATCAAGCAAAGAAAACTTCACATGAAAGTTCTAAAAAAAAAAAAATTATGTGAATATCATACAAACTTATTCACATGATATTTGCATGAAAAAAATATTTAAAAATATTCATATAAATTTTACATGATCACATAATTTTCAAATAAAAGGATAATCACATGTATGTCATGTAAGCCACTTTTCCCTGTGTAATTCCAGTATATCTATCAGTTTATGTAAACATCAGAAACCATTTAATTTCAGAATGAAAAAAGTGTGTATGTAAATACAAAAGCACTATTTCTTTAGCATATGAAAAATGAAAGAGCTAATATTTACATGCAAGTGAATGTTCTCACGTACAAGTAATGTTCAATCACAAATTTTTGGATAATACATCATAACACGTATTCATAAATGTGGAAAGATCTGTCTCTCTCTCAAAGACATGAATTATAAAAGGGACATTTGAAAAACATTAAAGTGTGAGAGCCACAACCATCACCCTAATCCTTAAAATAGCTGCTCAGAAGATGATGGGCACACAGAACTCACATTCAATACAGAGGCTCATCCTGCTTACCTAATGTGTGGAGTATAACAATCTACGCCACATTGATTGAATGGAGAAAACAAGGTGAAAATCTAGTTATTACTATTAACTGATTCTAATATCTTTGAAACCAAACACCATGTATGCTTTAAATCTCTGAGTAAATGTACTTAATATTAACAATTTGATGTAAGTTTTACTTTAAAATAAAATACCATTATTTACATGTAAATACCAGTATTCCTACTTTCAGTAGAAACTATACATAACAGGTACCGGTAATGATCACTTACTACAAGTAACTTAAGCAAGCAGCTCTTAGTACAAGTGTAGTTTTTCTTCTTACTAAAACTTCCATATTCTGACTTGTGAAATAGTATTTTCAATATTAAATAGTAAAAAGCTTGTACAAAACCTGACCAGTAGATTTGTTTTCCTGTACCAAAAAATGACAACCTAACATTGACAAGCTTGTACTTTGGACGGACATTCTTTCTTAATTAATTTGATGGCAAAAAAGGGGGGATCCATTAAATAATTATGAATTCAACAATTGCAACAACTTAAAACTCAGGAAAATGAAAAGGAGTGAAAATACATTGGAAGAAAAATTTTCTACTATCTCCATCAAAGGACTTCAAATTCAAACAAGCAAAATTTGACTTTAAAAATCAACAATACATTTGCACATCTGAGCAAATGGCACCAATAAGAATAACCCCCCACCCCACCTCCCAAAATAATGAAAATAAAATAAAAATGACTACATATTACATGTACATAATATAAACAATAATGTCTGCTAAAAATGAACATAGGCACTGATAACTGTCACCTTATCTACTTGTAAACTCAGACTGTGGAAGCCAGTCCTGATCAATATCATAGGTATTGTATAAACATAAATAATAAATATAAGAATTCAGTTTTATAAACAACTGATCACTACATCAGAAATTGTAAAAAGAAAAAAAAAATGAAAATTTCTCATCAGTGGAAATAGTTGTAATGTATACATGTGTTAACTCCCGTAATAATTAAGACAGTGTCTTATTAAATTTAAGATGTAAAATTCAAGCAGTGACCTACCAATATGATAATTAAATAGCCAGGGCTTTAAAGGTAAAAATTAAAAAGAAAATATCTTTAATATTGACGCACAACCAATATCTATTAAAAGAAGAATCTTCACTAGAAACCCATGGTCAATCTCACATACGCTTATTGAATATGCATATGGAAGATTGACTGTGGTTTCCAACGATGAACAAGAATACAATTTTCATTATAATATTACCAGAAATATATTATATAAAGTAAATGTTTTATTATAATGGTCAATGAACCAAAGTCATAGCCTGTTATTTTTTAATTCTGAATAAAACTGTTGGATCATTTAAACCAAAAGAAGGGGAGGACCCAGTGATTTCAAAAGGAAGGAGAATGTTTAAAAGTCTGCAGGTTTAAAGTGTGTTCCTTTAGTTTACTTTTGTGACCATCCTTCAATATTACTGTATAGTACATGCTTGAGAAATATCACCGTGATGCCCTGCTGCCTTTGCAAAGCATATCGCTTGCATCCAGTCATTTTGAACATTTTCATTTTCTGCTTGAATGTAGAAGGTGCGACTGTTATCCTTGGGCTTTATCCTAAATGCATGTTCTTTCTTGTCTATATCAGTTTCCGAGATTTCAGCATTTGACAGAGGAATATTTTTTACTGCTGTCTACAACAGAAAAGAAAGTAAATACACTTTTAATGTCTCTAATTTCACCTACTCAAAACCTCTCTTCTATCTCTCCCTCCTCCTCACTCACTCTCCCCACACTCTCTCTCCACTCACACTCTCCCCACACTCTCAAATATTCTTCTGAAATATTTTTTTTTTTTTCAAATTTGCATTATTGAGAAAACATGTCACCTGAATGATACAAAAGTTCCACTGAGGTGCACCTTTGAAATCATGCATCCTGTGCAAAATTAATGTAAACATAATTTACACTTGATGCACACCAAAATATATGATCACTTAATCTAACAGTTTCATCATCTAACATATTATATATCGTGAAATCAAATTCAAGCTCCTATTTAAATGATCTATGGTAAAGTTCTATCAAATGTTTTTAAAAATAAGTTCTCACAAAAAACATAGGAAGTCCTACTGGAATAAAAAAACTTTATTCTTTAGGTATAAAGTCAACTTGTTACCTCACTGACTTGTAACCAGTCAACTCAAACCCTACAATTTATAACCAAAACAAGAAAATCAACTTGTATCCAAAACCCAGGTTATGAGCTGACTTGGTTTTTGAGGGGAGTAGTCAGATCTTATCCTACAGCCTTGGCAATTAAATTCGATCAATTAAGTTACACTAAATACATGTACTTTCTCTTTTGATATAAAAATAATTTTGAAGTTTTCAGCTCAAGTGAGCTAAAAATACTTGACAGTTTTTTTCACTAAACAGTTCTCATGAGTGTAAATTCATTGTTAGTGTCAGATTAGAAATGATTGTAATTCTGCTTTCTTCAAAGTATTTGGTCATTGAGACAAATATTGAAATTCAATATAATAAATTATATGTGTGTCCTACTGTTCACTTTTTTTTTTTTTCAAATTTGCACAATTCAAATCACAGAATTTTTTAAAATTATTAAGGATAACAATGTGAAACCTTTTCATTCACATCAATAAAGTAAGCAGAACATTATATTTTTGTAATTAAAACAGAGAAATCAGATACACCAACAGGTGACCCAGGGTTGGCCATATCTCCCAGATTTTGCCAAATTCTGATCATTTACTGCTTCAATTTGCCTAGTTTGCTTTTATTAAATCAATACAATAATATAGTTTTAAAACTTTAAAAATCATATACCTATATATAGTAAAATAAATATTAACAGTTATGTCTCTGATCTTCCATTGCACTCACTATTAAAGCGAGACTCAGTGCAGAGATCTCAATAGACCTACATGTAAGAACAAAGAAAATTCGAATTAAAATCTGTGTATTCTAGCTTCAAGCAAATTTTTCTGTGAAACCTTCCCAGAATTCTTTCACTACCAGGATTCCATGCGATAATGGCAAATATTAAACAATCCCCCATTTATCATAGCTCACTTCGTGTAGAGAGCTTGAAGGAAACAAAAAATTATTACATCTACTTTACAATGCCTTTTGTTAAAAACTGCAAAAGGCCTATTTAGACTCAGTTACAGAAACTTACATACGACATCATACATACATACAGCATCAGGGATGGGGTCAATTACATAGGAAAGTAATTAATTAAATTACAATTACTTGCCCAAAACCTTCAATTAAATTACCATTACCATTACAAGGATTTTGAAATGTAATTAATTAAATTACAATTTTAAAATTGAAATTTTAAAATATTGTGTCCCCTAACCTACATCTATCAGGTTTAAAGATTTTTCTGCCACAATAAAGATATTTTACACTGGGGCATTTGTGACAGGAATAAATACTGACTAATAAAGCAAGTTTCAGGGCTTAATTGACCCTTTTTCGTACAGGGTCCTGTACCCTTCTAATTGTGAATTTTTAATTGAAAAAGTGGCAAAATTGCGAAATGTTGTTGACATATTTATTTGTTGATTAAAGAGTTAAATAATGGACTTGTTCCCCATACACACATGATATATATCTTTAAAAATGATTAAAATTTCAAAACATGTTATTTCTCTATATAAACAGCATCAAAAAATTTAATTTGGTCATTCTTTGGGAAATGTTACCTGATTTTTTGAGAAAAAAAGAGCCAATTTTCAACTGGGACACAGTTTTCTTACAGGACCTGGATGCTGTTTTCCATTAGGCCTAATTCATGTGTCTGTTTTTAAGCTTTTTGATATACATGTGTATTTATACAAAACAATGGATGCGTTTTGCCTTGTTTCCTGCTTTTTTCATCATCCTAAGCTATACATCTCAAAATGTTATAGTATTTGACATATTGTGTGTTAAACTACTGTCTTCCTACAATTTTTTATTAAAATAGAAAAATTAGTGTTATAACACCAAATCATATATTTTAAAAAAGATTTGTTGGAAGACTTAGTCAATGTATATGTATAAAACTAGTAATAGGTAAAGTCAAAATGTGTGTAAAATCTCTATTTAAGTTAAGTGTCAATATGTACATAACCCTAGGGCACTAATTAGCACCTGTTAATCACTTCTTACACAAGCTGTAGGTATGGCAAACAAAGGATTAGAAGCCATTAGACTAGAAATTTTAAGTGTAAATTCATAAACAGCTTAATTGAAATTATTAATTTTATTAAATATATTTATAAACAAGGAGATAAATAATATTGAAAAGTTTTGAAGAAAATGCATTTTTAAGAGGAAACAGCATTTCACTAAATTAAAGAAAAAATATATAATATTTTTTAATATATTATAGAACATTTTGTCCAAAAAATCAGTTAACCTTTCTTGAATAAAGTGCTTGTTATTTGAAAAAAAGGGGAGGGGGCTATTTCTCATTTATTAAACACCAGTGTAATTGAATGTAATTGAAAAGTAATTGTGAATTTTATGCTTTTCTCAAAAGTAATTAATTAAATTACAATTACATGTAATTGAAAATTGGGCCAATTACACATTACTTTCATTCATACTTTATTTCCACTTTGCAGTGATTAATGAATACTGTACAAAATGCACAAAAAAAGAATATCGTATATATAACATATAACTACATGAATTGAAATTCGTACACATACAAAGGTGAATTGCATGTAAACATATATATAGAAAAAAGAAATATTTACAAAGTTTGAGACCAAAAAATAGTGGTCATTACCTTACTTCATACACTATGTCCTTGCGAGTTATCAACAAAAAAAAAAAAAGGAAAACTATAGATGAACATTAGGAAAACAGAAAGATATAAAGGAGTGGGAAGCATCCCTCACTGACAGATTTGCAGTATGGAAAGATTGCGCTTATAGAGAGCACAAGAATCAGCAATGAGACGAAAGTTATGTAGCTGGAAGTTTCGGAGGTGGAAGGCGGATAGAATGGTGTTCGGCTTACGGCCTAGAAGAATCAAGTACAGCTCATCATCTGTAAGGGCACACAGTTCAGCACACAAGTTGATGTCAAAGTAGTTAACTACATCCTCCCACCACTGATTGCGTATATCATATGTGATACGACAAGTACACGACGCATGGTTAAAGAGATCAACATAAAGAGTTCCACAAAGGGGACAAATTTCTGTAGTTTCTCGAGGAGATTCGGAGACTAATTTGCAAATGAATTTGCATAACGAAATCTCATAACAGTTTTTGGGTAGTCGCCAGAATAAAGCCGGATTTCCATCCTGAAATACTTTCCGGAAACGGATGAATCCTGGATCACCTGAAATACGTGTGTCTCTCCGGAGCTTATTCTATCGAAAAGTCGCAGATCTCACAATTTGTTTCCAGGCTGACTTTGATGGAAATGAACCGAGCGAAAGCCACTCTCTCACATATTCGCAAAGGTTATAAATGCATAAAAGACTCAAAATATCAGGAATAAAACCTAGCTGCTTATGGGCGATCCCCTCCAAGTAAGAAAACAGCCTGGTTAAGAAGATTTTCTTAGACAGAGTTTTGTATTCCAGGCGACACAGACGGCCAAAAAATAGTAGTTTCCTTGTATCAATCCCTGCTTGTATTGGAAGAACTTCAAAAAGGTTTTCACAAATGTCAGACCTTGTTCTGGTAGGTAGATTCTGGGCGTTTTTGACCACTAAATGTTGGAAGACATTCAAGTGATGTAAATCATTTGAGGACATGTTATTCCATAATTCACATCCGTAGAGTACCGATGGTAAGACAACTGATTTGTAGAGATGAGAAAGTGTTAAAGGGTTCAGGTACTGAGATCCAATATCATTAAGGGCGAAATACGAGTTTTTACCCTTTGGACATGCAGAAATTATCCTATCTGAAAGATTGTACTTATCATTGATAAGAATACCGAGATGATTGCAGTTGTCCAGACAAGGAATGGTTTCGTTTCCCAATAACCATACATAGTCGAAGTCTACTCTGACATTTTTTGTGCCGAATCTCAGAATGCAGGATTTTTGGGCATTGAACGTAAATCGCCATCTCCTGGAATATTCGAATGAAATGTTCAGCATTGTTTGAAGGGATGCAGGTGAAAGTCCTATGCATGCTAGATCATCTGCCAGTGAGGGACAGCTACATGAAATATTAAGAATGCCTGAGTAGTTGGATGATTGTTCTAGAATATTAATCAAATTGTTAATGTACACAAGATACAAGAATGTAGAAAGAACACCGCCTTGTCTGACACCCTGCTGGACAGGAAACCACCTGGACTGAGATTGATTAACTATAATAGCACTTGATGTATCAATGTGACAGTCCTTTAGTATAGACCAAAGTTTTCCTGTTACACCAAGTTCATACAATTTCAATAAAAGAGCATGTCTCCATACAGTATCAAATGCCTTTGTACTATCCAAAAAACTAACATAAACATTGCTACCCTGTTCTAAATTATGAAAAATAGTTTCATGTAAGTTGAAGGATGCCGTCAGACAACCTAGCTTCTGTTGAAAACCTTGCTGTTGGGGATTTGGGAATGATTTATTAATTAACACATGTTCAGAAATGCGGGTATGAATGATACTTTCAAAAATCTTTAAAAAGCATGACAATAAAGCGACTGGTCTGTAGCTATTGCACGAAGTTTTAGATTTATCCCCTCCCTTGTATAGCGGCACAATGAATCCCCGTTTCCTTGCACAAGGTATCACCCCATGCAACACAATAGCATTAAACATTTTTACAGTACATGCAAGGGCACATTCGCCACTGAAAATAATGTGCTCATATGTAACTCTATCAGCACCGGGTGCTTTTCTGTATTTCAGCTTGCGAATGATGGGTGTTAACTCGGTTACAGTAATTTGGCCACCGGGAATTTGCCGCTATAATGATCACACAGCTTTTCAATGTCTGCATACTTCTCTTCAATTTGGCGATGGAAGTCTTGGTCAAATGATGAATCATCAGAAGGAGTATAAATATTTTGAAAGTGCATTGCACAGGCTTCAGCAACTCCAGAAAGATTGCTATAGGTAACTCCGTTTTCTCCGTGAATTTCAGGATAGGTACGGGAAGATCTGCGTTTCTGTCCTTTTACCAACTTCTGAAATAGGCGAATATCGCAGTCGGCTGCTTCTTCAAGATCACGGTATACGCCACTCATATAGCGCTCGTTTTCTGTATCTAGTGCATTTCTGAACTGTCTTTTGGCTCTTTTGTAGTTTCGATAAGTTTCATAAACCATACCCCTAGGTCTCCCTTCATCAATCCAGAGACGCCGCATTTTTCTTTCTAAACACATGGGATTTTTTTACCTCTTTGGTCCATCCCGGTCTTGTATGTGGGTTAAAACCAGCTTGGGGTATATTGCGCTCAGCAGAGTTTATCAGAATTGAACACAAATCAAAGTAAAAGTTGTTAATGTCGGTGATAGACTGGATATCACGCTTGCGTATATCCTGAAGATCTTGCTGCATATATGACCTATAAGACTCAATAGCAACAGACGTAGCTTTATGCCATGCCGCTACTTTAAAGTTAGAGTGTATGAGATAGTGGTGTGAGCACTTGAAGCTTAGTTCAGCAAGAACTGGTAAATGGTCTGAGGTGCTACAGATTTTACCTTCCTCAAAAATTTTATAAGACACTCATTTATCCATAAAGGATTTGTTGAAGAAAATGTAATCTAACATTGTACACTTTTGAATGAATGTAAATTGTTCACCTTCTATACTGAAATCTGACCCTGGTAAGCAGAGGTCACATCTCTGAACAAAATTGGAAAGGATCTGAGACTTAACAGGGTTTGTGTTGAGGGGGCGGCTAATACAACTACTATTTAAATCACCTGCAATCACAACAATGCCATATGAACTATAATAATTGTACAGACTTTCAACCACATTGAGTTCATGCCTATATAAATTACATCGAAATTTGTAATTAATTACTGTCAATTACCATTACACATTACCATTACCCCATCCGTGTACAGCATGCATGTAAAGGTTTTTTATGGTATACAACTGCACTTGCCCCAATATAGATAGAACATTCTATCGTTAAAATGATTTTGTCCTATGGACCCAGTTTAGCGCACAGGTACTTGTGGACAGGACCCCCCCCCCCCCCCCGATCGATATTCAACCCCAGGGCTTGTTGGACATTTTTTTCACAAATCATATTTATTGCACTTATTCAGCATGTGTACAGTACCATAGGAAAAAATCGTGAAAACCCCAAAATAATCGTTCCACACAAAAAATACCCCACTTTACATTATAAGTAAGTATAGAAAACGTAAAATTTTGAGGACTGATAGTTTGTAAAATAATTTTTGACAGTCAAATAATTCTAATCCATTTCTTCTAGTCAATTTGCAAATAAAATTCGTAAATTACATGTAGGGGTGGGACGATACACAGATCTTGCGATACGATACGTATCTCGATACATATAGCACGATACGATACGTATCTCGATATTATGATAAATTATAAAACTATTTAAAAAACTTAGTATTTGTTTTTATTTTTTGTCTTGACAATAAATCAACAAATCATTCTATATCAAATCATATCTGATATTTGAAATTAATACTTGAAGTTCATCAATTTCATTGACTAAATATTTACAAAAACAAAATTATTTGTACGTATTGCCAAATGTCCATAAACAACTTGTTTATAAATAGTTGGGTAGTTCATCAAGAACACTGACTAAAAATTCATTAAAAAGAAAAACATCACATTTACATTATTATTAATTGCTGAAAGTCTGCAACCAAGCTGAGTTTACAAAAAAAAATATTAATCCACAATTTGTTTCAAAATTTCAAATTCTTGAAATTAGAAAATCCATGCTTTGTTATGAGCTGTTCGAGCCAGATGGACTAACAATTAATAATATCAACTGTTGTGGAAACGATACTTTCTGTATATCACACGTTTTACCGGCTTTACATACGGAACTTTTCTTGTCCCATCTTCCGAGGATACTTAAAAGTGAAAATGTTTTATCCGTTATCTCCGACTTGTAAGTTCTAAAGCGTGTTGTCAATATCAATATCATCTCTTCGCTTCGTACAAGCCGCCATTTTTCAAGGACGAGTACTTTCATTTTCAATTTTTGGATAGGTTGTTTGTGAATCGTTTCGTACCGATATTTTAAGGCATGTATCGTAAACCGTATCTTAGCAGAAAATATCGATATGTATCGGTGTATCGGTATATCGTCCCACCCCTAATTACATGACTAGATTACATAAAAGAAAGCATAAAACAACGTAGAATTTTCCTTCTATCAAAATGTATCGTACCGAAAATAACCGTACCGAGACAAAATTATACAACAGGGTTCTCACTAGGATTTTGCTAACTTGAGTCCCAGGACTCAAGATTTCTGACAAGGTTGCGTCCCAGCTAAATTTGATGCGTCCCAGAAAAATTATGTTGAGTCCCAACTGAATTATTGCAGTATCCTTCCATCCAAACATCAAAAAAAATCTTTCATTTTTTAACAGTTTGTTTACGAAAATATTAACATATTCAAATATGTGAACTGGTGATGCATCCAAGCCATATTCTAAACTACACATGTAATCAATTGCCATAAAAATAAACTTGGTGTTTATAAATCTAAAATTAACTGTTGCATAATCAATTAGTATCCAAAAGTTGACTGTATACTGTATACAATCACAGGTGTCATGTTCAATTAGGCCTAACTAATCCTGTCGGTTGTCTGCACTAGGTGAAATTCACGAGATAATCAAGCTGCATTGTGTATACAAGCAGTAATTGTGTTTAAATAAAAACAGCTATCATGGCTATCGGAGTTTGGCATGCGACACGTTTATGACTATGGACTAATAAACATGACATATCTTATAATCAATCCCTGTTTTAAAAAAAATAGAAATAGGTACAAGAAAAGTTGTTTCTAGGATAAACTTTATGATAGTTACAGGAAGGTTTCGATTAAATATTTCTTTGACAAATCCTATCATCTGAAATCTCCGGTTTTCGAAAGCATCCGAATTTTCTCGCTGACGAGGACGCATCAACTCATGAGTCCGCGGACGTATCGTTTTTAAGAACCTTGCGTCCCAAATAATTTTGCTGCATCTAGGACACAGATTCTTGCGTTAATGAGAACCCTGATACAATTTGTATTGAACCGTGAAGGAGGTGTATCGTTTCAACCCAATATAGAAAATAAAAACGCTTGTGTACAAAATGGCTTTCACTTTTTAAGCACACAAAAGAAATAAACCTTTCTGTAGGAGTTGACTTTCAGGTTTTGTATACAGCTTGACTTCTTGTGTATGAGTAGATCTGTGTAGGAGTCGATTTGTGTAAGAAGTGACTGTAAATTTGTATAATGGATATCGACTTCAAACAGCAATCACTCTTACAGTTACACTGTCGAACATATGATAACTGAATTTAACAAAATATAACGCCAATTTCTTTTTAACAACAAAAATTCATTTAGGCAATATCATATCTTGTGATTCTACAACAAGTTGCACAATATTATTATTCACCTCAGGTGTGTTTCCATAGAGCAAATCCGAATTTCTCAGAACGAACCACTGTTTCTTCCACTTTCTTGATAATTTTGTTCTCTTCCACAAATAACCTTTCAATTCAACATGAGTGTGGTTCTCGTCGTTATGACTACTAGATGTATTTAAACTATTCGTTCGGCTACTTGATGGTTCCGACTCTGCCATTTTTCTAAATTTTTGCTTTGATCATAAAGTAGTCGTAAGTTCAAAATGTTTGTCGTAAATCAAAATATAACATTTTTTTATCATTTTGGGGAAATGGCTAATAAATACCAAGTGCAAAAGTTATTTCTGAATAAAGTGGGTAAAAAATTCACTATTTCAAATTTTCAAAATATTGTTCAAATGAAAGAATCTTCCATTTTACGACTTTCATATGTGAACGTCAAGGTCACGTGACATATAAGCGGTGTAGTGTCAAATTCATGCTCACGTTTAAATATCTTTTATTTTATGTTAATTTCACACAAGTATTGTTTGAGATGAAATGATGAATAAAACTAAATGTTGAAACAAAAAATCTTTCTTCATCTAATCTATGAAAATGTGACTCCACTGCACACAGTTACAGTTTTGAACGCGAAAATCCGGAGCAATTTTTGATGGACTCCGCACCTCATCATATCCGGAAGCCATCGCCTGAATTTTTTTTAGACGGGCGAGTTGACATCGGTCTTCACTAAAAAACTGTACACATGGCATAATGGAAGAAATTGGTGGGAAGAGAAGCTTTTCTTTTCAAATGCAAATAGGTCTGACAAGGGATCAGATCAACATTGATGGTGAATTAACGTTAGCGAGTTTACAAGAGATAGCTTGTTCGTTTGTAGACAGAAAGGTGAGACTGTCAGCTGTTTGATTCTTAACTCAAATTTTGTGTCAGATCTACACATATGAACACATTTGTTTTATTTCGTTTATTTTTTCTCTGTTTGGGTGTACGCAATCGTGAGGTCTTTACCCACTCGGTGTATACATATGTATAGTGAATATACGTGTATGCTAGATCTTCGAAGTGAATCAAATAGTGCAGTGTACAGTGGCGTATTTATTTTTTTATTTTTTTTTCATTTAATTGATGGCTGGTAACAGGTTATTTATTGCATTACAATAGAGTGTCTATTTTCATGCCGTAATATCAGGGTAAGATTTCGCATTTCAGTATGTTAGAATAATCTAACTGTGTCTCGGTACAAGCCCTCACCACAGTTAGAATACGTCCCATATACTTGCAGTGTAGCACATCGGAGTGGATCCACTCCAAAATGATTTTGAAGAATACAAAAGGAGTTGCACTGAAAATAACTACCAAATTAATCATAACAAACGAAAATTCAACTCATTTTCTCATTGTTCTATTTTTTTCCTCGCTTCAAATTTAACACATTGTTGACATTCGGAACTCTCTTGATTGTTCATAGAATATGCACAGAGTACGAGTTATCGCCCGTGTTTATTTTGCAACAATAACGAATTCTATCGTTAAACCGGGTCGGTCTGTAGGACAATATCATTTTAACGATAGAACGTTCTATCTAGTATTAACATTCTTCTGAATCAGATGAAATTCATCAGAGTGCATAACTCCACAGAATAAATATACTTAAACAATGCAGGGACCTATATACTAAGTGTTAGTATATAGGTACCTGAACAATGTTTCCTAAAAATGCTCTTTACTCCACTGGTTAATGCATATTTTGGCACATTGAGAAAATTATTAGTGATTCAGAGTTCTCATTTACTCAAGAACCTGCATACTAGATGCAGCAAAATTATTTGGGATGCAAGGTTCTTGAAAATGATGCGTCCGGAGACTCATGAGTGGACACGTCCTCGTTAGAAAGAAAATTCCGGTGTCTTCGAAATTTGAACACCAAGTTAATTTTGATGGCAGTAAATTGTGCGTGTATTTTAGAATATGGCTTGAATGCATTATCATTAACTATATATTTGAATATTTTAAAATATCGCATACATTAGACGTCTGTTAGAATAAAGATTTTTTTTTTGTTTGGTTAGAAGGATACTACAATAATTTAATTCAATTGGGACTCAATATAATTTTTCTGGGATGCATCAAATTTAACTTGGACTCACCTTGAGTGAGTTACAGATCAAGTATGCATTTCGTTCCGCCTCAATGATTTTTGACGGAATTATGACCTTTTCAGTTTTTCGGGGTTTTCCGCAATTTTTTCCTAAATGCTTGCAGATATTTAGCTGATTTTTGGTATGTGGCGTTACCTTGATGAGTTATAGATCAAGTTTGCATTTCGTCCCGCTTCATTGATTTTTGACGGAATTATGGCATTTTCAATTTTTAGTGGGAACCAGATTACACTTGCCGGTAGGGGACTAGTATTGCTAATGCAATACTCTCAGAATGCTTGTTTTTCTTGTATTTTGGGGATAGGACCAGGCCAACAATAAAAAATTATTTGTTTGATGTACTCAAATGGACCCATCTGAATTAGCTCTACCTGATCAGTTTTTTTCAGTACTTTAAATTCTTTATGTTTCTGGAAAAATACAGATTGTCCATATCATTTTTAAATTTAAGGTTTATTATTTTCTTAAGACCCTTTTTAGATTGAAAGTAGCAAAAAATATAACATCTGTCTAGTTGTCAGGAGTATAATGAAAACGTCAGTAAATTTCAAAGTCTGTATTATTTTTTGTTATGATGTTTATCAGTGTGTTAGATAAATAAAAAAAAAAACCTACCCATCTTGAAAAATGTGAGTTGGAGTACATCAAACAAAAACATTTTAATGATGGCACAACTTGTATCCTATCATGTGTCATGTTATAAAGGAACTAAAGTTTAGCCATAATATATCACACGCAATAATTTCCCTGTAACAGTAGATCAAGGTAAAGTTTATCACAAGAAGGGACGAGTACATTTTAGGGTTTAGTTAAAGTTCCGTACAGTATGGCTGAAAATCACAAATGCATTATTTTTTAACCTACATAAAGTATTTTTTTTATCCATATATGACTGTACAACTTCCCCTATTTTTATTTTGAATTGAGACACATTTAAAAACAAAACACACATACACACATGCACACATCTTTTGCCTGACTTGTTCAATCTTTGCCAAGCTTTATTTATCTTTTCCATTTATATAATTATGCAAATCTTTCATTTGGGCTTGATTATTAGAGTCTATGCTTACAAAGAAATCAGCGTTTATTTTCAAAAACAAATTTACTTGCATATGTATGAAAGTATGACATGTAAAGAAAGTAAAATTAGATGATTGTTTACAAGAATGGGATTGTGGAGAGTCCTCTATAGATTAACTGATTCCCTTCCATAAACTTCACATTTAACCAGAGGTTTGAATACCTGTTTTGAAGTACACATGTATTTTATTTCCTTGATGCACAATGAAGCATTTGTATAATACATGCTTTTCAAGTAACAATAAAGTAAAAAAAAAAAACAAAACAAAAGTTCAAAGAACAGAACCCAGAATGTGAGAATACTGTATTTCCTTTTATTTGGTAGTTGTTTTTTTTTTTTTTGGGGGGGGGGGGGGTGTAAAAGACGAAATTGAAGTATGTGCAAAGCTCTGTGTAATTGCATGAATTATTTTGCATGTTATTAAACTGACTAATGGTGTATGTTAATGTTCCCTTATGTATGCTTGTTTGAAGGTGAATGGCATAAATGGAGTATCACCATGCATGCTGCAGCTTTCTAAGGTATTGTATTCTGTGATTATGGTTTGAGAGTCTTTTGTGGCTATTATGCATGCTGTCTTCTTGAGATAACTTGTGCAGAGATATGTATACTTAACATTCCCCACCTCAATTACACCTGAACAATCTTTTTACAAAAAAAAACCCTTTCTATAGTACATCGTACTGATTCTTGATCTAGCAGAAATATTATCCTTTTTAGGTCATCTAAGTCACTCAGGTGACCTATTGCTATCTGTTTTTGTCCTTCGTCGCTTGTCGTCTGTAGGTCATAAACTTTTGAATGTTTTCAACTTCTTATAAACCGCAGAACCAATTTTGATGTAGAGCATCTATCGTCAAGGGGGACAAAAATTTTGAATTTTATGGTCCCTGCCCTCCTGGTGCCTGAGGGAATGCAATTTTCAAAAATTATAAAAAGCAATGAGTCCTTTACCAAAATTGTGAAATTCATGGCCCCAGGGATAGGGATTCTCGAGTTACATGGAGCTCTATTAATCATACAGTAAAAATGCATTGATTTTTTGAAAATCTGCTGCTCTCCCCCTGTATGTTTAACATGATTATGATGAGCAAACTTGTGTGCCTCTTCCAAATTGTGAAATTTATGGCGTATGGGTCGGGGCTCTGGTGTTGGGGTGGGTCTCTATTAATTATGATGAAAATGCATTAATGCTTTGAAAATTTTCTTCTCTGCTCCTGAAAATGCATGTAAATTATATGCATAGTTATGATGAGCAAGGGTGCCTCTTCTAAAATTGTAAAACTCATGGCCCATGGATCAGGGGTTCTGGTGTTAGGACAGGGCTCTATTGATTATATATGCCTATTCACATGTAGAGCGTTTAATTCGAATGAAACGTAAATTACTGCAAATTAAATTGGAACTTTTACACGGAGAATTTAATATGAATTAGTTTAATTCGAATTGATTTACTGTGTTTCAAATTTCTTCGCATTAGCTCTGCCCAAACGCTAAGCAAAGCTAATTCTAATTAAATTGTGATGCTTGCATAATGGCAAAATTAGGTCACATGTAACATGGGTAGTCAAATATGGGTACTTGTGCTGTTTTTGAGTGAAAAACAGAAAAAATCTCTTTATCTCTCTTAATCTCCCAAAAAGTGTGTACAGACACTATGACATTATGTGAAATGGATCTGCTATGCATAAGGTTTGCAATTGCAAATGACGTCATAATAGCCTTACTGTAGAAATAAAATTTTAATGCGAATTAGTTTTCTTTGCCTTAACTGCCATGTGAATGCAATTTAATTTGAATTAGTTTAAGTCCCATTATTTAGCTTTGTATTAATGACATATACTGGGAGTTAAATTTTTAATGCACATTCATGTAAACAGGGCATAAGTGAAAATGCATATTTCTCTGAAAATCTTCTACTCTGCCCCTGAGTATTAAGCAAGCATAAGTACATGGTTATGATGAGCAAGAGTGCCTCTTCTAAAATTATAAATTTCATGGCCCTTTGGTCAGGTATGAGAGCAGGTGGTATGAGAGCAGGGCTCTGTTTATATATTTATTTATATTTAAAATGCATTAATTCTTTAAAAAATCTTGTCTGCTCCTAGGTACATGTGTATTTAGCATATGAACTAAGTTATGATGAGCAAGGGAGCCACTTCAAAAATTGTGAAATTCATGGCATTTGAATTAGAGATTCTGGTGTAAGGCTATATAGATAGTGAAAATGCATTATATCTTTTAAATTTTATACCCCTTGGTACTTAAAGCAAACATAGTAAGTGCATGGTTGTGAATTTCATGGCCCCTGGGTCAGGTGTTCTGGTTTTAGGATGGGGCTTTATTTATAAAGTGAAAATGCATTAACTCTGTGAAAATCTTCTTCTCTGCTCCTAGGTTCATGTATTTAGCAGATTAACTAAGTGCATAGTTATGATGAGCAAGGGTGCCTCCTACAAATTGTGAAATTCATGGCCCCTGGGTCAGGGGCCCTGGTGTTATAATGGTACTCTTACTAATTGTATTGATTTTACAGAGAAAATGCATTAATGTTTTGAAAATCCTCTGTGCTCCTGAGCATCTAGGAGGGAAACAGAGTGCAAAGTTTTAATAAACAAGGGTAGTTTTACCAGATTTGTGAA